TCGAGTCCATCTCACGCTATGCAAAAACTCAATGCACATTAAAGGCCCTAAAATCTGGAATTCATTACCTGTGACTATAAAAGAAACACTGTCTATTTATAAATTCAAGTCTCTTCTCAAAAATCACTTACTCACCCACAACTAAATAAATACAGAATAATTGTATCTCATAAATTGTATCTCTATATGTATCTCATTATTGTATCTCATAAATGTCAACCTGTGACCCAATCAAACTTTGTTACTATTTAACTTCATTACCTAACAGAATACTCCATTCTACTGATTACACAGCAACACAGTAAATGACCATATGACCTGTCTTTGTAATACTCATTTGTACTAAATTGTTATCTGTTTTACAATAATTTTTGTACCACTCAATATATCATTGCTTAGTTAATCTTAAGTGGAACCACAGTCGATGGCCTCCACTCCAAACCAACAGATACAGATACTAATGCCGGAAAAAAAATCCCCCCCCAGTACCAACAATACCACCAGTCCGATAACATTCTTCTTTGCAAATATACAGGGTCTAAAGCCAGCAACAAACAACAAAATACCTTTCATCCGTGGACTGCTTGCAGAGGCAAAGGCAATGTTCGCGGCTTTCACTGAGACCCACATAAAGGATCACTTGGACAACGAAATATGGATCCCAGGTTACAACCTATACAGATGTGACAGAGTGAACAGGCAAAAGGGGGGGGGGGGTTGGCCTGTACATTGCAGAGTCACTTGTTTGCACAGAACTGCTTAATGCCTCAAATGACGTAGTGGAAGTTTTAGCAGTAAAGGTCGAGAACCAAAACCTAGTCATTGTGGTAGTCTACAAGCCTCCGGATGCAACATCCCAGCAATTCCAGGAACAGCTGTTAAAAATTGACCACTGTCTAGAAAATCTTCCAGCTCCTGCACCCAACATCTTGCTCCTGGGGATTTCAACTTAAGGCACCTAAAAAGGAGGAATATAGCAATAATATTGTTGCAGTAATAACACCAGGAGGCAGCTCTGATGAAAACTCACACTCACACGAGCTTTTAAATCTCTGCACAAAATTCAATTTAAACCAGCAAATAATAGAGCCTACTAGACTGGAGAATACACTAGACCTCATCTTCACTAACAATGATGATCTGATAAGAAATGTCACCATATCAAAAACAATATACTCAGATCACAACATAATTGAGGTTCAGACATGTATGCGTGGAGCCCCAGACCGACAAAATGAGACTAGTCACGAGGGAGCATTCACCAAATTCAACTTCAATAACAAAAACATAAAGTGGGACCAAGTAAACCAAGTCCTAACCGATATAAGCTGGAAGATATACTAAGCAACACAGACCAAACTTATGCCTAGAACAGATTAACTCGGTGGCACTCGATGTATGCACAAGGCTTATTCCTCTAAGAAAAAGGAGGAGTAGATGTAAAATAGAAAGAGACAGGCGCTCCCTTTACAGGCGACGGAAAAGAATAACAGAGCGGCTAAAAGAGGTCAATATATCTGAAATGCGCAGGGAGACACTGGTCAGAGAAATAGCAAGCATCGAACTTAAGCTAAAAGAATCCTTTAGGAGTCAGGAATCGCGGGAAGAACTAAAAGCCATAAATGAAATCGAAAGAAACCCAAAGTATTTCTTCTCCTATGCCAAATCAAAATCGAGAACAACGTCCAGTATTGGGCCCCTACTTAAACAAGATGGGTCCTACACAGATGACAGCAAGGAAATGAGTGAGCTACTCAAGTCCCAATATGACTCAGTTTTTAGCAAGCCGTTAACCAGACTGAGAGTCGAAGATCAAAATGAATTTTTTATGAGAGAGCCACAAAATTTGATTAACACAAGCCTATCCGATGTTATCTGGAGTTTACCTGGAGAGAGTTCCGGGGGTCAACGCCCCCGCGGCCCGGTCTGAGACCAGGCCTCCTGGTGGATCAGAGCCTGATCAACCAGGCTGTTGCTGCTGGCTGCACGCAAACCAACATACGAGCCACAGCCCGGCTGATCCGGAACTGACTTTAGGTGCTTGTCCAGTGCCAGCTTGAAGACTGCCAGGGGTCTGTTGGTAATCCCCCTTATGTGTGCTGGGAGGCAGTTGAACAGTCTCGGGCCCCTGACACTTATTGTATGGTCTCTTAACGTGCTAGTGACACCCCTGCTTTTCATTGGGGGATGGTGCATCGTCTGCCAAGTCTTTTGCTTTCGTAGTGGGTGATTTTCGTGTGCAAGTTCGGTACTAGTCCCTCTAGGATTTTCCAGGTGTATATAATCATGTATCTCTCCCTCCTGCGTTCCAGGAATACAGGTTTAGGAACCTCAAGCGCTCCCAATAATTGAGGTGTTTTATCTCCGTTATGCGGGCCGTGAAAGTTCTCTGTACATTTTCTAGGTCGCAATTTCACCTGCCTTGAAAGGTGCTGTTAGTGTGCAGCAATATTCCAGCCTAGATAGAACAAGTGACCTGAAGAGTGTCATCATGGGCTTGGCCTCCCTAGTTTTGAAGGTTCTCATTATCCATCCTGTCATTTTTCTAGCAGATGCGATTGATACAATGTTATGGTCCTTGAAGGTGAGATCCTCCGACATAATCACTCCCAGGTCTTTGACGTTGGTGTTTCGCTCTATTTTGTGGCCAGAATTTGTTTTGTACTCTGATGAAGATTTAATTTCCTCATGTTTACCATATCTGAGTAATTGAAATTTCTCATCGTTGAACTTCATATTGTTTTCTGCAGCCCACTGAAAGATTTGGTTGATGTCTGCCTGGAGCTTTGCAGTGTCTGCAATGGAAGACACTGTCATGCAGATTCGGGTGTCATCTGCAAAGGAAGACACGGTGCTGTGGCTGACATCCTTGTCTATGTCGGATATCCTGACGCCAAATGACTTCGAACAGGCGATAAATGACATGCCCATGCACTCTGCCCCAGGGCCAGACTCATGGAACTCTGTGTTCATCAAGAACTGCAAGAAGCCCCTATCACGAGCCTTTTCCATCCTATGGAGAGGGAGCATGGACACGGGGGTCGTCCCTCAGTTACTAAAAACAACAGACATAGCCCCACTCCACAAAGGGGGCAGTAAAGCAACAGCAAAGAACTACAGACCAATAGCACTAACATCCATATCATAAAAATCTTTGAAAGGGTCCTAAGAAGCAAGATCACCACCCATCTAGAAACCCATCAGTTACACAACCCAGGGCAACATGGGTTTAGAACAGGTCGCTCCTGTCTGTCTCAACTACTGGATCACTACGACAAGGTCCTAAATGCACTAGAAGACAAAAAGAATGCAGATGTAATATATACAGACTTTGCAAAAGCCTTCGACAAGTGTGACCATGGCGTAATAGCGCACAAAATGCGCGCTAAAGGAATAACAGGAAAAGTCGGTCGATGGATCTATAATTTCCTCACTAACAGAACACAGAGAGTAGTCGTCAACAGAGTAAAGTCCGAGGCAGCTACGGTGAAAAGCTCTGTTCCCACAAGGCACAGTACTAGCTCCCATCTTGTTCCTCATCCTCATATCCGACATAGACAAGGATGTCAGCCACAGCACCGTGTCTTCCTTTGCAGATGACACCCGAATCTGCATGACAGTGTCTTCCATTGCAGACACTGCAAGGCTCCAGGCGGACATCAACCAAATCTTTCAGTGGGCTGCAGAAAACAATATGAAGTTCAACGATGAGAAATTTCAATTACTCAGATATGGTAAACATGAGGAAATTAAATCTTCATCAGAGTACAAAACAAATTCTGGCCACAAAATAGAGCGAAACACCAACGTCAAAGACCTGGGAGTGATTATGTCGGAGGATCTCACCTTCAAGGACCATAACATTGTATCAATCGCATCTGCTAGAAAAATGACAGGATGGATAATGAGAACCTTCAAAACTAGGGAGGCCAAGCCCATGATGACACTCTTCAGGTCACTTGTTCTATCTAGGCTGGAATATTGCTGCACTCTAACAGCACCTTTCAAGGCAGGTGAAATTGCCGACCTAGAAAATGTACAGAGAACTTTCACGGCGCGCATAACGGAGATAAAACACCTCAATTACTGTGAGCGCTTGAGTTTCTAAACCTGTATTCCCTGGAACGCAGGAGGGAGAGATACATGATTATATACACCTGGAAAATCCTAGAGGGACTAGTACCGAACTTGCACACGAAAATCACTCACTACGAAAGCAAAAGACTTGGCAGACGATGCACCATCCCCCCAATGAAAAGCAGGGGTGTCACTAGCACGTTAAGAGACCATACAATAAGTGTCAGGGGCCCGAGACTGTTCAACTGCCTCCCAGCACACATAAGGGGGATTACCAACAGACCCCTGGCAGTCTTCAAGCTGGCACTGGACAAGCACCTAAAGTCAGTTCCTGATCAGCCGGGCTGTGGCTCGTACGTTGGTTTGCGTGCAGCCAGCAGCAACAGCCTGGTTGATCAGGCGCTGATCCACCAGGAGGCCTGGTCACAGACCGCGCCGCGGGGGCTTTGACCCCCGAAACTCTCTCCAGGTAAACTCCAGGTAAGTTAATTTTAAGCTGCCCATAATGCTCACATACAAGGAGCTTGGTATGTTGCATTTTAAAAATTGTATTCCTTGTACTTCTCTGTATCATGTTCAAATTAATAAATAAAAACAGGAGGGTACTTGACAGTGGAAATAAGCCACATTGACTTTATTGGGTTATAATATGGCAAATTCTACACAATTTACTGTATAACGAGTTATACATGAAGTCTACATAAAAACTTGTACAAACTTCGTCAGGTGGTTGTGTTCAAATGTTTCATTTGACCTCGACTTCAGAGTCCTTGACGCAGGTGAAGTGCTATTGATCCAAAGAATTAGATCTATCCTCCACTTCCTGGGATTAAATAAGATTACTTCACATTACCTTGGTGCTGTATGAGCCTTACAAATTAAGTTATCTCCCCACTGTTACACTAATATTCGAGTTGTAGTTGGTGGTCACTATCAGTAAGGATGGCAGGACAGGCGCAACTCTCCTCTCACACCAGTATTTCTATATCCAAAATCTTTGATACAATGGAATATGGCCCAGCTCTTGAGGATGAGAGTGTAGTTCAGGTATTTCATTAACTTATCTGGTAATTATGTGAGTTTGACAAATGTGTTACGAGTAATGGGCATTATATAACGATGCTTTGTAATGTATATTGGACGTTATTAGCTCGTTAACATTTGTTTTACTGTGCCATGTTAAAATGTCCGCTGTTAGACTGGTTTAGTCATGGACATTACTTTTATGTGCAAATGTAAGAAACAACCTAGTAACGTCCTGTGGCTGGGTTGATAGCGCACTCGCCTCACACACTGAGTGTCCGTGGTTCGATCCCCGGCATGGGTGGTACCCTTGGACATGTTTCCTTACACCTGCTGCCCCTGTTCACCTAGCAGTAAATAGATACCTGGCTGTTAGTCGACTGATATGGGTCGCATCCCTGGAGATAAGACTGAAGGCCCCCAATGGAAATCAGACAGTCCTTGATGACACTAACTTTCTTGGGTTTGCATGAATGGCTAACCATCCAGGTTAAAAATACGAAAAAAAACCTTATTAAATAACCTCACCCTCCCTCCAACACTCCAACTTACTTCATTCCATCCTCGACTTGCAGACCCTCTTAATCATCCTATTCTGTTGTATCCTCTTTAAATGCACAAATCACTACATAAGTCTAACCCTTTCAACTATTCTTTGTGTAACCCCACTCTATCTTGTAATTTATATAATCTTTAAGTAAGTTTATTTAGGTACAGGCACACAAAAATACAGTTACACAAATTATCATACATAGTAATATATGTGTAAATTATCTATGATAACCCCAAAAAAGTCAGATAAAATGACTTACTTTCATTGCTCTCAAATGTTACATCTCTACTGCAACTAGCTTCCTCATCACTGCTATATTTAAAACCCATTTCTCACCCATGTAAGTGTTGGTATTACTGTACTCTAATACATTCTGCTTTTTCAACCACCATATATTTTTTTCTTACTTTTCACAGATGCCTCCACATTTCACTGGCCTGTTTCTCCTTCATCTTTTCTGTGGTTTACCTAAGATAAGATTTCGTTCGGATTTTTAACCCTGGAGGGTTAGCCACCCAGGATAACCCAAGAAAGTCAGTGCGTCATTGAGGACTGTCTAACTTATTTCCATTGGGGTCCTTAATCTTGTCCCCAGGATGCGACCCACACCAGTCGACTAACACCCAGGTACCTATTTGCTGCTAGGTGAACAGGACAACAGGTGTAAAGAAACGTGTCGAAGTGTTTCCACCCGCCGGGAATCGAACCCGGGCCCTCCGTGTGTGAAGCGGGAGCTTTAGCCACCAGGCCACCGGGCCACCACCACTAGTCTTTCATGGAACTATCTGCCCCCTCATGTACTGTCTGGCAAAGCTCTCGCTTCACATGCAGGGGTGGCAGGGGTGGAATCATTGGACACATTTCCTTACGCCTGTTGTCCTATTCACTGAGCAAGTGGGCACCTGGGTGTTAGTTGACTGGTGTGGGTTGCATCCTGGGGGACAAGATTGAGGACCCCAGTGGAAATAAAACAGACAGTCCCTCGATAATGCACTGCCTTTCTTGGGTTATCCTGGGTGGCTAACCCTCCAGGGTTAAAAGTCTGAACAAAATCTCATCTTATCTTATCCCTAAATCTCTGAATACAGTACATTCACTTCCTCCTTATTCCCTCCTTCCATCTTAAATGGCCTGCAAAATTAAAAATAAATCATATGTGAGGATACCTGGAGTTTACCTGGAGAGAGTTTCGGGGGTCAACGCCCCCGCGGCCCGGTCTGTGACCAGGCCTCCTGGTGGATCAGCCCCTGATCAACCAGGCTGTTGCTGCTGGCTGCACGCAAACCAACGTACGAGCCACAGCCCGGCTGATCAGGAACTGACTTTAGGTGCTTGTCCAGTGCCAGCTTGAAGACTGCCAGGGGTCTGTTGGTAATCCCCCTTATGTGTGCTGGGAGGCAGTTGAACAGTCTCGGGCCCCTGACACTTATTGTATGGTCTCTTAACGTGCTAGTGACATTACACCAGAAAAGAGCATTGTTTTTATATACAGTGGACCCTTGGTTTTCGTATTTAATCCATTCCAGAGAGACCTGCAGAAATTGAAATCGGCAAAAACTGAAAATATTTTCCCAATAAGAAATAATGTAAATTCAATTAATCCGTTCCAAACACCCAGAAGTATTAACAAAAAAAATTTTTTTATCTTAAAGATAGATTTACATGCACAAAAGAATGAACATTCAACATGACACTTACCATTATTGAAGGCTGTTATTGGTGGATGAAAGACAGGGAGGAAGGGAGAGGGAAGAGAGGTTATTCTCTGGAAGGGAAATTTCCCTCCATAAGGACTCTAGGTACCAAGTCCTTATCTGGGGTCACTGACCTTCTTTTTTTTTAATGCCACAAATCTTTCCATCCTACTCCACATTGCACAAATCTCCATTACTACCACCCTCTGCCACCATCACAACCACTACCACCCTCAACCACCATCACTGCAACCTTCAACCACCATCACTACAACCCTCTACCACCATCACAACCACTAGCACCCTCTACCACCACCACTTTCGTATTTTTCTACAAACTTTTTCTTGAATTCTATCGTGTTTCTCACATTCTTTACCAAAGGGCTGGCACTAGAAGCTTTCTTTGGTCCCATGGTGGCTTATTTAGCAATTACACACAATAAACAAGTGCCAAAAACAATGGATTATTACGAAATGTTTCGTATGACCTCGCAAGATATGTTCACTCACCGAGAAACAACATGACACTGCCTGAGAATGCATGTGGGAGGCGGCTTTGTGTGTGCTCTGGGCACACAACAGGTTCCGTACCATGAATGAAAATGGAGGAAATCGACAAAGACGGAACCAGCATTTTGACAAAAAAAGTCAGCTAAAACAGAAATCGGTGATAATGGAGATCGACGAAAAGGGAGGGTCCACTGTAAATGATTATACAGTGGACCCTTGCCTAATGATATTAATCCGTTCCTAAGAGCTCAGCGTTAGGCGAAAGTATCGTTAGCCGAATTAATTTTCCCCATAAGAAATAATGGAAATCAAATTAATCCGTTCCTGACACCCCAAAGTATGAAAAAAAAATTTTTTACCACATGAAATATTAATTTTAATACACACAAACTGAAGAAGACATGTACAATTACATGACACTTACCTTTATTGAAGATCTGGTGATGGTTGATGGGATGGGAGGAGGGGAGAGAGTGGATGGTGTTAATGTTTAGAAGGGGAATCCCCTTCCATTAGGACTTGAGGTGTCAAGTCCTCTTCTGGGGTTACTTCCTTTCTTCTTTTAATGCCACTAGGACCAGCTTGAGAGTCACTGGACCTCTGTCGCACAACATATCTGTCCATAGAGGCCTGTACCTCTCGTTCCTTTATGACATTCCTAAAGTGTTTCACAACATTGTCAGTGTAATAGTCACCAGCACAGCTTGCAATAGCTGTGTGAGGGTGATTTTCATCAAAAAAGGTTTGCACTTTAAGCCACATTGCACACATTTCCTTAATCTTTGAAGTAGACAACTTCAATTTCTCTTTCCCCTCCTCCGGAGCAGTTTCCTCAGGTCTGGCCTCTTGCTGTTGAAGATGATCTAGCAGCTCATCAGTGGTTCGTTCTTCATTGTCCTCCTCCACCAACTCTTCCACATCCTCCCCACTAACCTCCAACCCCAAGGACTTCCCCAATGCCACAATGGATTCCACAACTGGCATAGGCTTCTCAGGGTTAGCCTTAAATCCTTCAAAATTCTTTTTGTCTACACATTCTGGCCACAGTTTCTTCCAAGCAGAGTTCAAGGTCCTCTTAGTCACTTCCTCCCAAGCCTTACTTATAATGCTTACACAATTGAGGATGCTAAAGTGATCTCTCCAAAACTCTCTTAGTCAATTGAGTGTCTGAGGTCACTACAAAGCACCTTTCAAACATAGCTTTTGTGTAGAGTTTTTTGAAGTTTGCAATGACCTGCTGGTCCATGGGCTGCAGGAGAGGAGTGGTATTAGGAGGCAAAAACTTGGCCTTAATGAAGCTCATGTCCCCAGAAAGTCTGCCACGTCTGAAGGAGGACCAGGAGCATTGTCTAATACCAGGAGGCACTTAAGGTCCAATTTATTTTCCAGGAGGTAATTTTTCACAGTGGGGGCAAATGCTTGGTGTAACCAGTCATAGAAAAGGTCTCTAGTGACCCATGCCTTACTGTTTGCCCTCCACATCACACACAAATTAGCCTTGAGGACATTGTTTTTCCTGAACACACTGGGAGTTTCAGAGTGATACACCAATAAAGGCTTCACTTTGCAATCACCACTAGCATTAGCACACATCAACAGAGTAAGCCTGTCTTTCACAGGCTTATGTCCTGGGAGTGCCTTTTCCTCCTGAGTATTGTAGGTCCTGCTTGGTATTTTCTTCCAAAACGGGCCTGTTTCGCCACAGTTAAACACTTGTTCAGGTTTCAGTTATTCACTTTCTATGTACTCCTTGAATTCCTTCACATATTTTTCAGCTGCTTTTTAGTCCGAACTGGCAGCCTCGCCATGCCTTATCACACTATGTATGCCACTACGATTCTTAAATCTCTCAAACCAACCTTTGCTGGCCTTAAATTCACTCACATCACCACTAGTTGCAGGCATTTTTCTAATTAAATCATCATGCAACTTCCTAGCCTTTTCACATATGATCACTTGAGAGATGCTATCTCCTGCTATCTGTTTTTCGTTTATCCACACCAATAACAGTCTCTCAACATCTTCTATCACTTGCAATCTCTGTTTTGAAAACAAAGTTGCACCTTTGGCAAGAACAGCTTCCTTGATTGCCGTTTTCTTGGCCATAATAATAGCAATGGTTGATTGGGGTTTTATGTAGAACCTGGCCAGCTTGGAGACACGCACTCCACTTTCATACTTAGCAATGATCTCTTTCTTCATATCCATAGTAATTCTCACCCTTTTTGCTGTAGGGTTGGCACTAGAAGCTTTCTTGGGGCCCATGGTGACTTATTTTGCAGGTGCAGTCACTAAAAAGGCTGTGATAATAGGAAATGTTCCGATTGTATGCTTGGAAGCGACCGCGGTGGCTGGCTTGTAAACACTGGCACCCACGGAACAAGTGAGGCGGGCTCAGGCCGCACGTGGACGTGTCTCAAACGAATTGCGTCGAGCGAGTTTTTTAGCGCTAGCCGAGGCAAAATTTTTGCGTTAAAATGTATCGCTAGGCGGATTTAACGTTATGCGATGCGTTCGTTAGGTGAGGGGTCCACTGTACTATACATGTATCTTTCATTTTTATTATACCAATATTTTGTATGAACCGACAGGCTTGGCTTGATGATCATGACAGGAAATTTGGCCACTTCATTAACAACACTTGGGTGTACCCAGATGACCGGAAGACATATGAGACAAAAGACCCTTGTCGAGGCACTGTCTTAGCATCAACAATTCAGGGCACTCAAGAGGATGTAAATAATGCTGTTATTGCAGCTAAAGAAGCATTCAAGTCTTGGAATTCTTTGTCAGGCCATGCAAGAGCTCGTTACTTATACAGGTACAGTATGAAAAGTACTGTATTGACGAGCTGCTTATTACATTAGGATCATAGGATTTCATCTCCAGATGATTTTTGCATAAAGGCTTGTATACTATACTATATATATTGTATTAGTCATTATTAGGTAGGATAAAGTACTGTAGTCTTCGTGCTGCTAAGAAGGCATGATTGCATAAAAAATTATTTTGTACATTTAATAATCCTCTTATTTTTATAGCTCATCTAATTTGTAATACACATAGGAGGGCCCCGTTTATACAGCAAGTTAGGTTTCGTCTACATGAAACTGTAAAGCTTTTTTTATTATTTTTTTTTTTTTTTATTATCACACTGGCCGATTCCCACCAAGGCAGGGTGGCCCGAAAAAGAAAAACTTTCACCATCATTCACTCCATCACTGTCTTGCCAGAAGGGTGCTTTACACTACAGTTTTTAAACTGCAACATTAACACCCCTCCTTCAGAGTGCAGGCACTGTACTTCCCATCTCCAGGACTCAAGTCCGGCCTGCCGGTTTCCCTGAACCCCTTCATAAATGTTACTTTGCTCACACTCCAACAGCACGTCAAGTATTAAAAACCATTTGTCTCCATTCACTCCTATCAAACATGCTCACTCATGCCTGCTGGAAGTCCAAGCCCCTTGCACACAAAACCTCCTTTACCCCCTCCCTCCAACCTTTCCTAGGCCGACCCCTACCCCGCCTTCCTTCCACTACAGACTGATACACTCTTAAAGTTATTCTCTTTCGCTCCATTCTCTCCACATGTCCGAACCACCTCAACAACCCTTCCTCAGCCCTCTGGACAACAGTTTTGGTAATCCCGCACCTCCTCCTAACTTCCAAACTACGAATTCTCTGCATTATATTCACACCACACATTGCTCTCAGACATGACATCTCCACTGCCTCCAGCCTTCTCCTCGCTGCAACATTCATCACCCATGCTTCACACCCATATAAGAGCGTTGGTAAAACTATACTCTCATACATTCCCCTCTTTGCCTCCAAGGACAAAGTTCTTTGTCTCCACAGACTCCTAAGTGCACCACTCACCCTTTTCCCCTCATCAATTCTATGATTCACCTCATCTTTCATAGACCCATCCGCTGACACGTCCACTCCCAAATATCTGAATACATTCACCTCCTCCATACTCTCTCCCTCCAATCTGATATCCAATCTTTCATCACCTAATCTTTTTGTTATCCTCATAACCTTACTCTTTCCTGTATTCACTTTCAATTTTCTTCTTTTGCACACCCTACCAAATTCATCCACCAATCTCTGCAACTTCTCTTCAGAATCTCCCAAGAGCACAGTGTCATCAGCAAAGAGCAACTGTGACAACTCCCACTTTATGTGTGATTCTTTATCTTTTAACTCCACGCCTCTTGCCAAGACCCTCTCATTTCTCTTACAACCCCATCTATAAATATATTAAACAACCACGGTGACATCACACATCCTTGTCTAAGGCCTACTTTTACTGGGAAATAATTTCCCTCTTTCCTACATACTCTAACTTGAGCCTCGCTATCCTCGTAAAAACTCTTCACTGCTTTCAGTAACCTACCTCCTACATCATACACCTGCAACATCTGCCACATTGCCCCCCTATCCACCCTGTCATACGCCTTTTCCAAATCCATAAATGCCACAAAGACCTCTTTAGCCTTATCTAAATACTGTTCACTTACATGTTTCACTGCAAACACCTGGTCCACACACCCCCTACCTTTCCTAAAGCCTCCTTGTTCATCTGCTATCCTATTCTCAGTCTTACTCTTAATTCTTTCAATAATAACTCTACCATACACTTTGCCAGGTATACTCAACAGACTTATCCCCCTATAATTTTTGCACTCTCTTTTATCCCCTTTGCCTTTATACAAAGGAACTATGCATGCTCTCTGCCAATCCCTAGGTACCTTACCCTCTTCCATACATTTATTAAATAATTGCACCAACCACTCCAAAACTATATCCCCACCTGCTTTTAACATTTCTATCTTTATCCCATCAATCCCGGCTGCCTTACCCCCTTTCATTTTACCTACTGCCTCACGAACTTCCCCTACACTCACAACTGGCTCTTCCTCACTCCTACAAGATGTTGTTCCTCCTTGCCCTACACTGAGAGTAAAAGGTAGATGGGATACAAGGAGAATAGAAGCATCAGGGTAAGATATAAACAGCTATTGGAGGATAGATGGGCTAATGAGAGCATAGGCAATGGGGTCGAAGAGGTATGGGGTAGGTTTAAAAATGTAGTGTTAGAGTGTTCAGCAGAAGTTTGTGGTTACAGGAAAGTGGGTGCGGGAGGGAAGAGGAGCGATTGGTGGAATGATGTGAAGAGAGTAGTAAGGGAGAAAAAGTTAGCATATGAGAAGTTTTTACAAAGTAGAAGTGATGCAAGGAGGGAAGAGTATATGGAGAAAAAGAGAGAGGTTAAGAGAGTGGTGAAGCAATGTAAAAAGAGAGCAAATGAGAGAGTGGGTGAGATGTTATCAACAAATTTTGTTGAAAATAAGAAAAAGTTTTGGAGTGAGATTAACAAGTTAAGAAAGCCTAGAGAACAAATGGATTTGTCAGTTAAAAATAGGAGAGGAGAGTTATTAAATGGAGAGTTAGAGGTATTGAGAAGATGGAGGGAATATTTTGAGGAATTGTTAAATGTTGATGAAGATAGGGAAGCTGTGATTTCGTGTATAGGGCAAGGAGGAACAACATCTTGTAGGAGTGAGGAAGAGCCAGTTGTGAGTGTGGGGGAAGTTCGTGAGGCAGTAGGTAAAATGAAAGGGGGTAAGGCAGCCGGGATTGATGGGATAAAGATAGAAATGTTAAAAGCAGGTGGGGATATAGTTTTGGAGTGGTTGGTGCAATTATTTAATAAATGTATGGAAGAGGGTAAGGTACCTAGGGATTGGCAGAGAGCATGCATAGTTCCTTTGTATAAAGGCAAAGGGGATAAAAGTGCAAAAATTATAGGGGGATAAGTCTTGAGTATACCTGGCAAAGTGTATGGTAGAGTTATTATTGAAAGAATTAAGAGTAAGACTGAGAATAGGATAGCAGATGAACAAGGAGGCTTTAGGAAAGGTAGGGGGTGTGTGGACCAGGTGTTTACAGTGAAACATATAAGTGAACAGTATTTAGATAAGGCTAAAGAGGTCTTTGTGGCATTTATGGATTTGGAAAAGGCATATGACAGGGTGGATAGGGGGGCAATGTGGCAGGTGTATGGTGTAGGAGGTAGGTTACTGAAAGCAGTGAAGAGTTTTTACGAGGATAGTGAGGCTCAAGTTAGAGTATGTAGGAAAGAGGGAAATTATTTCCCAGTAAAAGTAGGCCTTAGACAAGGATGTGTGATATCACCGTGGTTGTTTAATATATTTATAGATGGGGTTGTAAGAGAAGTAAATGTGAGGGTCTTGGCAAGAGGCGTGGAGTTAAAAGATAAAGAATCACACATAAAGTGGGAGTTGTCACAGTTGCTCTTTGCTGATGACACTGTGCTCTTGGGAGATTCTGAAGAGAAGTTGCAGAGATGGGTAGATGAATTTGGTAGGGTGTGCAAAAGAAGAAAATTGAAAGTGAATACAGGAAAGAGTAAGGTTATGAGGATAACAAAAAGATTAGGTGATGAAAGATTGGATATCAGATTGGGGGGAGAGAGTATGGAGGAGGTGAATGTATTCAGATATTTGGGAGTGGACGTGTCAGCTGATGGGTCTATGAAAGATGAGGTGAATCATAGAATTGATGAGGGGAAAAGGGTGAGTGGTGTACTTAGGAGTCTGTGGAGACAGAACTTTGCCCTTGGAGGCAAAGAGAGGAATGTATGAGAGTATAGTTTTACCAACGCTCTTATATGGGTGTGAAGCATGGGTGATGAATGTTGCAGCGAGGAGAAGGCTGGAGGCAGTGGAGATGTCATGTCTGAGAGCAATGTGTGGTGTGAATATAATGCAGAGAATTTGTAGTTTGGAAGTTAGGAGGAGGTGCGGGATTACCAAAACTGTTGTCCAGAGGGCTGAGGAAGGGTTGTTGAGGTGGTTCGGACATGTGGAGAGAATGGAGCGAAACAGAATAACTTCAAGATTGTATCAGTCTGTAGTGGAAGGAAGGCGGGGTAGGGGTCGGCCTAGGAAAGGTTGGAGGGAGGGGGTAAAGGAGGTTTTGTGTGGCGAGGGGCTTGGACTTCCAGCAGGCATGAGTGAGCGTGTTTGATAGGAGTGAATGGAGACAAATGGTTTTTAATACTTGACGTGCTGTTGGAGTGTGAGCAAAGTAACATTTATGAAGGGGTTCAGGGAAACCGGCAGGCCGGACTTGAGTCCTGGAGATGGGAAGTACAGTGCCTGCACTCTGAAGGAGGGGTGTTAATGTTGCAGTTTAAAAACTGTAGTGTAAAGCACCCTTCTGGCAAGACAGTGATGGAGTGAATGATGGTGAAAGTTTTTCTTTTTCGGGCCACGCTGCCTTGGTGGGAATCGGCCAGTGTGATAATAATAATATAAAGTATACATATAAGTGCAGTCACTCCTGAGGGTGAGACATAGGTAGGAGTCACTGCTGGTATATCTGAGAGCTGCCTGATGCATGATCAGCCTCAGTAATATTGCAAATTAAAACCTTGGAACATTGAAATTTGTCAATTTCTTTGTATTTTTGGCTTGACTTTCTTTTGCAGGCACTGTATTTATATTTTCTATACAGTACTAAAATAAGGTAAGTTGGTTTAACTAATTAATTTTATATTATGCATCTTTGGGTGTACTGAAATTACAAATATTGATGTACTTTGATTTTTAGTATTGCTCGTCACGTTCAGAAGCATTCTCGTCTCTTGGCTGTTCTGGAATCCTTAGACAATGGAAAAACCATTCGAGAAACACGAGATTGTGATGTTCCCTTAGTTGCCAGACATCTTTACTACCATGCTGGCTGGGCTCAGTTGATGAACTCTCAGATGATAGGATGGAAGTCTATTGGTAGGTTCTATTTTAATATTTATGTAAGTGGCATTGCATATCAGTGTAGTTTACTCACAACTAACTGGGCCCAGTCTCTGGACCCACTGTATGCCTCTGTAATCTTGACTACCACCCAGAGGAGAGGTAAGGGGTACATAATAGAGATAGGTATGGTGTGCATAATAAAGATAATGAACTAAGCAACTTGTATAATATACAGTATATCCACTAATGTTATAGTTGCTGTCTCACACACCTTGCTTTAGTTTTGTTTTGAGTGTGAAATATGCCAAAGTTCTCTGTGTTTATCTTACATGCTGAGAGATATAAATAATCATTGTTCTGGTAGATCACTGAGATTGATGGGTGGAAATCATGCTAATCAAAAAAGCTATTAATACATGTATATAACAGATACTGTATATTAATTTTTCCTTTAGGTGTCGTTGGTGCAATTGTTCCATGGAACTTCCCATTAATGCTGCTGGCATGGAAGGTGTGTCCTGCTCTGGCCATGGGTAATACAGTCGTCTTGAAGCCAGCTACAAATACCCGTTTGTCAGCACTTCTTTTTGCTGAAATCTGTGCTGAGGCTGGGTATGTAATCTTTCTGTTAAAAAGGATAGTAGTAAAGACTTTGATAGGCTAAGTAAGAGCTTATATAATATTTAAGAATTATCACTGAAAGCTGACCTTGAAAAAATAAAAAGTTGTTATTCAGTGCTGTATTCTAATAGAGAATATTAATTATGTACAAAGAGATAGATTGGATAACCTTTGAGGATGAAATTTGAAACAAATGTTCAAGTTTATTTTTAAGTATAAGGAAAGGCAACACCAAATTTAAACTTCTGGTAGTGTTCCTTATGAAAGTGATCACATCCTACTAGAGTTAATATGTAGAAATTTGTGTTTCAATAACTCAATAATAATGAATTTACTTATTTTCGGTTTATCATTTTTTTGGTTTGACTGCAGTATAAATATTTTCAAAACTATTCTCAGGCTTCCTGCTGGAGTGTTTAATGTAATAACAGGTGGGGGCGCAATGGGTTCCATGCTTGCAACTCATCCAGATGTTGACAAGGTGGGATTCACAGGGTCTACTGAGGTTGGTCAGATCCTGAGAAAAGCAACTGCAGGGACAGGAAAGAAAATTTCTCTGGGTTAGTCTACATGTAATACTGTAATAGCTTCTGTATTTCTGTGAGGAGGGTAATATTTAGTGAAGGGATTCAGGAAAACTGGTTATTTTTATATAGCCAGACTTGAGTCCTGGAAATGGGAGGTACAATGCCTGTACTCTAAAGGAGGGGTTTGGGATATTGGCAGTTTGGAGGGATATGTTGTGTATCTTTATATGTATATGCTTCTAAACTGTTGTGTTCTGAGCACCTCTGCAAAAACAGTGATTATGTGTGAGTGAGGTGAAAGTGTTGAATGATGAAAGTATTGTCTTTTTGGGGATTTTCTTTCTTTTTGGGTCACCCTGCCTCGGTGGGAGACGGCTGACTTGTTAAAAAAACAAAAACATGTAGTATTCATTATAACAGCTGTGAAGATCTGTTAATTATCTTTATATCTTGAGTGATAATCATGCAGGTGAAGAAGAGTTAGAGTGCAGAACTAATGTAGAAAGAAAGTAAAATATAATGAAAAATTTTTGTTTTGGGTAAATGCTGTTAAAAACATAGACCCATTTGTATCATGAGAATTTACAAACCTTAAAAAAATTTAGGTGTACTCTATTAAGATGGAATAATGTTATTGGCTGCAAGTTATCCTGTTTTTTAAGACGGCTGTTTCCTGCCGAGGCAGGGTGACTCAAAAAGAAAGAAGAAAACTTTCATCATTCAACACTTTCACTGTCACTCATACATAATCAGTCTTTGCAGAGGCGCTCAGACACGACAGTTTAGACATCCCTCCAAACTCCCAATATACTAAACCCCTCCTTTAAAGTGCAGGCACTGTACTTCCCATTTCCAGGACTCGAGTCCGGCTAACCGGTTTCCCTGAATCCCTTCATAAAATATTACCCTGCTCACACTCCAACAGCTTGTCAGGTCCCAAAAACCATTTGTCCCCATTCACTCCTATCTAACATGCTCACGCATGCTTGCTGGAAGTCCAAGCCCCTCACTCACAAAACCTCCTGTACCCACTCCTTCCAGCCTTGTTGGGGACGACCCCTACCCTGCCTTCCTTCCCCAACAGATTTATACGCTCTCCAAGTCATTCTACTTTGTTCCATTTCTCTCTTTATACATTTCCTCTTTACAAATGTCTAGATAAGTGTGAGAGGAAAATATTCAGCCCAAAATTGTATGTAACAAATTAACTCACTGTATACTATTAAATTACTGTATAAATAGAGATGGGATGATGCCAAATTTTTTGCTGATACTAATACTGTACTTGGTTTTAGACCACTACCATCAAAATTAGCTACTACTCACTGATATCCCTCAAAATTAGTTGATACTGATTCTCTATTTTCAGCTGATACTGATACCAACAAAATCAGCCAAATATGATCAATACCTTTACTTTGTCACATCCATAATTAGAAATATACTTTTCAGTGTTAACATGCATGAAATATCAGTGATGCATACCATGGCTTTGTGGAGAAAGTTGGAGTTTTGTGTTAAGCATTGGGGTAAGAGAAGGCTAGGTCATTGTTGTAGGCAAGTGTAAATGCTTCTACTGGAAAGTAATTTTCTTCATTAAACATTGACATTTAATTCTATTTTCTTGGCACAGAACTAGGAGGCAAGAGCCCCATAATTGTGTTTGATTCAGCAGACCTTGACTCAGCTGTTGAGGGTGTTGTTGATGCCATCTGGTTTAATCAAGGACAGGTAAAGAGGAAATTTGATATTATAATTGATCTCCATAAAGAAATAGCTATACAAAGAGCTTTGTATTGGGGAAATGCAAAAATGTGCATTATGCATATGGGACTGTTCAAAAAAGAATTAAAGTGGAATGAGTGTGTCTGTTACTGTATAGGAAAAAAATTACATTTTCAATTTGGGAGTTTTAAATTATGGAATGTGAGGAATAAACTATTGAATTTTGTGAAGTTTTGAAGTGCCAGTATTGAATGTCACTTCAAAAACCTATTTTATTTGACAAATCGTGAATAGTCCCCAGGACCATCAGGCAAGTTGGTAATGGTGATAATCTGAATTGAGGACAGAAGTCCATTATAATATTCTGATAGTTATGTGGGCAGGGTAAAACACATGGACAAATTTGTGATAAGAGTGCAAGGAAATTTCTGACCTCATGAATCAGTGCTGTATGCAAGATGGTAAAAGGCTCAAACAAGTGCAATACATATATTTTTTAATTTGCTCTTTGACCCCTTGATATGTTTGTGATAAAAGAATCGTCCTTGACTATCTTATCTTTTTCTATATTATACTGTACATGTATGTGGTTATTATATGTCTTCCCTTTCTTCTAAGGATTTTTTTTTTGTTTTTGTTTTTTCATAGCCTATCTAGACTTTCTATTTTATATGTATTTTTATATTATTTTTGAAGACTTTATGCTACAGGTGCATACAATACAGTATTATTTTTCCCAAATATGATGTGACATTTTCTTTTATATATTTACACCATCTACATATCTAAAAGCTATTTCAAAATTTTCTAGTATAGCTTTTGGGCTTCTCACTACACACTTCATTTTGCTGACTTCCACTGAGAATTATTTGTTTGTTATTAGCTCCAGAGCCCTTTCTCTGTCTTCAAAATTTCTTTGTCATCTACAATGGACCCCCAGTTACCGGCCGTAATCCATTCCAGAAGGTCGGCCTAAATCCGAAATGGCCAAACACCGAAGTAATATTTCCCATAAGAAATATTGTAAATCCAATTAATCCGTTCCAGACTCAGGTTAGGGTGTGTAGAAGAGAGGGAGACTACTTCCCGGTAAAAGTAGGTCTTAGACAAGGATGTGTAATGTCACCATGGTTGTTTAATATATTTATAGATGGGGTTGTAAAAGAAGTAAATGATAAATTGGAATTGACAGAGTTACTTTTTGCTGATGATACTGTGCTTATGGGAGATTCTAAAGAAAAATTGCAAAGGTTAGTGGATGAGTTTGGGAGTGTGTGTAAAGATAGAAAGTTGAAAGTGAACATAGAAAAGAGTAAGGTGATGAGGGTATCAAATGATTTAGATAAAGAAAAATTGGGGAGGAGGAGTATGGAAGAAATGAATGTTTTCAGATACTTGGGAGTTGACGTGTCGGCGGATGGATTTATGAAGGATGAGGTTAATCATAGAATTGATGAAGGAAAAAAGGTGAGTGGTGCGTTGAGGTATATGTGGTGTCAAAAAATGTTGTCTATGGAAGCAAAGAAGGGAATATATGAAAGTATAGTAGTACCAACACTCTTATATGGGTGTAAAGCTTGGGTTGTGAATGCAGCAGCGAGGAGGCGGTTGGAGGCAGTGGAGATGTCCTGTCTAAGGGCAATGTGTGGTGTAAATATTATGCAGAAAATTCGGAGTGTGGAAATTAGGAGGTGTGGAGTTAATAAAAGTATTAGTCAGAGGGCTGAAGAGGGGTTCTTGAGGTGGTTTGGTCATTTAGAGAGAATGGATCAAAGTAGAATGACATGGAGAGCATTTAAATCTGTAGGAGAAAGAAGGCGGGGTAGGGGTCGTCCTCAAAAAGGTTGGAAGGAAGGGGTAAGGGAGGTTTTGTGGGCGAGGGGCTTGGACTTCCAGCAGGTGTGCATGAGCGTGTTTGATAGGAGTGAATGGAGACAAATGGTATTTGGGACTTGACGATCTGTTGGAATGTGAGCAGGGTAATATTTAGTGAAGGGATTCAGGGAAACCGGTTATTTTTATATAGCCGGACTTGAGTCCTGGAAATGGGAAGTACAATGCCTGCACTCTAAAGGAGGGGTTCGGGATATTAGCAGTTTGGAGGGATATGTTGTGTATCTTTATATGTATATGCTTCTAAATTGTTGTGTTCTGTGCACCTCTGCTAAAACAGTGATTATGTGTGAGTGAGGTGAGTGTTGAATCATGATGAAAGTATTTTGTTTTTGGGGATTTTCTTTCTTTTTGGGTCACCCTGCCTCGGTGGGAGACGGCTGACTTGTTGAAAAAAAAAAAAAGAGAGAAATATAAAGCAGTAATTTTAATAATAAATGAACATTACGTACCTTTATTGAAGACTTGTTGGCATATGGAAGAAAGCGAGGAGGGGAAAGAGAGGAGAGCTTATTGTTAGGAAGGCGAATCCCCCTCCATAAGGACTTTAGGTATCAAGACCCTCTCTGGGGTTACTTCCCTTGTATGTTTTTTTACTGGCATTAGGACCAGCTTGAGAGCCACTGTACCCCTGTCACACAAAAAATCTGTCCAGAGAGGCCTGTTTCTGGGGTGTCTGTAAAATTTGCCTAAAATGGGACAAGACATTGTCATTGAACATGTTGCAGACACAGCTTGCAACAGTTTTGTCAGGGTGATAATTCTCTGCAAAACTTTGCACCTCACTCTACTTTGCACAAATGTCCTAAATCACTGAAGAAGGCACATTCTCTCTCCTCTCTTCCTCCTCTAAAGCAATATCCTTGGTTGCAGTCTGTTGCTGTTCCTGTTGAAGTTGTTGCAGCTCTTCAGTGGTTAGCCTTTCCCTGTGGTCCTCCACCAACTCTTCCACATCCTGGCCACTCACATCCAACCCCATGGACATCCCTAATGAAACAATAGATTCCACAATAGGCATAGGGTTGTCAAAATCCTTGTCAAGGATACATTCTGGCCACAATTTTCTCCAAGCAGAGTTTAAAGTCCTGAGAGTCACTTCCTGCCAAGCCTAATCTGTAAGGCTTATGCAATGAAGGATATTGAAGTGATTCCTCCAGAACTCTCTTAGGGTCAATTCAGTGTCTGAGGTCACTTCAAAGCACCTTTGAAACATTGCTTTGGTGTACAGTTTTTTGAAGTTTGAAATGACCTGCTGGTCCATAGGCTGGATGAGGGGAGTGGTATTAGGGGTCAAGAACTTCACTGTGATGAACTTACACTCCTCAAACAATAGGTCTTCCAAGTCTGGAGGATGAGCAGGAGCATTGTCCAGCATCAGGAAGCACTTAAGTGGCAATTTTCCAGGAGGTATTTCTTCACACTCGGGCCAAACACTTCATTGACCCACTCAATGAAAATTAGCCTCGTGACCCATGCCTTATTGTCAGCCCTCCACATCACACACAATTTACTCTTCATGACATTATTTTTCTTGAGCACTCTGGGATTTTCAGAGTGATACATGAGTAAAGGCTTCACTTTGAAAGCCCCACTAGCATTACCACGGGACAAAAGAGTTAGCCTATCCTTCGTAGGCTTGTGTCCTGGCAGTGCCTTTTCCTCCTGCGTGATGTAGATCCTCTCTGGCATTTTCTTCCAAAAGAGGCCTGTTTTGTCATAATTGAACACTTGTTGGGGGAGGAATCCTTCAGCCTCTACATAATCCTTGAATTCATGCACGAATTCTTCAGCCGCACATTTGTCTGAACTTGCAGCCTCACCATGCCTTACAACACTGTGTATGCCACTATGTTCCTTGAAGCTCTCCAGCCAGCCTTTGCTGGCCTTAAATTCACTAACTAACAGCAGCACTCGTTCCCGGCATTTTCTTTACGAGAGCCACATGCAACTGCCTTGCATTCACGCAAATTATCCCCTCCGAAACACTATCTCCTGCTAATTGTTTTTGGTTGACCCACACCAACAGCAACAACTTCACATCCTCGATTGTTTGAGACCTCTGTTTTGTTAGCATATTTACGCCTTTCACAACATGAGCTTCTTTGATTTCTGCTTTCTTCAACAGGATGGAACTGATTGTTGATGTAGATTTCCCATAAATCTTGGCAAGTTCTTCCACATGTACGCCACTTTCATATTTAGCGATAACTTTTTTCTTGAATTCTATTGTGTTTCTCACCTTCTTTTCCAAAGGGCTGGCACTCTGAACTTTCTTTGGCTCCATGGTGGCTTATTTCACAGTTACAGTCAATAAGCAAGCACCAAAAACAATGAATGAACGCGCGGAGTATTCCTACCCCAATGAGAGTGACGCACAGACTGAGTGTGATATGCATGAGGAAGCACATTGCCAGCGGGTGGATGCGTCTCATACCAACGATTTATGAGGGGATGACCGATATCCGGGGGGGAATTTCGCCGAAATACGTGCTCAATTTCTGAATTGGTCGATTTCCACACCAGCCTATATCCAAGGGTCCACTGTATATTCAAAGGGTGTTACCACTTTCTTACACTTCTGTTATGTGACACTTAACCTATGTTAAATTTCACCATCAGTTTGTTACTCCCTGTACTAAATTTATACAAATCTCTTTATAGGAAGTATTATAGCCATTTTGGTGTATGTATATATGTATTTTACATAGGATTTATACCTCATCACATTATATTTAATGCATATATGGCAGTTCTTATTTATTCCATCTGGCAAGCCATATATATAAATTAAGTCATTATTGCAAAAAGTGCTGATCAATGTGCAATTACATTCCTATATTATTTTCTTTTTAACATGTTGGCCGTCTACCACCAAGGTTGGGTGACCCAAAAAAGGAACACTCTCACTGTCATTCACACCATCTTTGTCTTGCCAGAGGCATACAAATACTACAGTTCAGATGTCCCTTGAAACAGTAAATACCAAACCTTTCGTTTAGAGTGCAGACACTGTACTTCCCACCTCTATGATTCATGTCCGGCTAACTGGTTTCCCTGAATCCCTTAACAAAATATTACCTTGCTCACTTTCAACAGCTTGTTAGGTCCTATATGTGTGCATGAAAACACCTCACTACCCAAACAGAACTCTTTCCATAGTGTACAATGCCAAATCTGCAGGCACAGTAGATGATTGTTGTAAGATTTGAATCCTGGCTTGATCATATGCATTTTTTACTGTACTTTGTTTGATCCAGAAATTAAAGTTTGAATATACTGTATACTCTTCTCTGTATCTTATTTTATTTGTTTGATATTAAAATTTCAGGTTTGCTCTGCTGGATCACGTCTCTTGGTCCAAGAGCCTGTATTTGATAGATTTATTGAGAAAGTGAAGCAGCGCATGAAGACGCTTAGACTTGGCTCATCCTTGGACAAAACCATGGATATGGGTGCCATTATTGATGAAACGCAGCAGAAATTTATTGCTGAGTATGTTGATGATGCTCAGAAGGGAGGAGCAGAGGTAAGCTTTTGATAATGCTGGTAGGAGTTTATAGGCATGTCAGCTACTTGTCATTTTAATAGTTAAGCTTCAGGAATGATGTAACAGTATTGCATTAATGAGCACTGCCCTGTTTGTATATCAATCATTATTTTATATAACATTAACACTAGTCTATTTTAAAGGAAGTTACCATACATTAATTTTTTTTTTTTAATTAGTCGGCCGTCTCCCACCGAGGCAGGGTGACCCAAAAAGAAAGAAAATCCCAAAAAGAAAATACTTTCATCATCTTTCAACACTTTCACCTTACTCACACATAATCACTGTTCTTGCAGAGGTGCTCAGAATGCAACAGCTTAGAAGCATGTACATATAAAGATACAGAACATATCCCTCCAAACTGGCAATATCCTAAACCCCTCATTTAGAGTGCAGGCATTCATAAATATTACTTTGCTCACACTCCAACAGCACATCAAGTCCTAAAAACCATTTTGTCTCCATTCACTTCTATCTAACATGCTCACGCATGCTTGCTGGAAGTCAAAGCCCCTCGCACATAAAACCTCCTTTACCCCCTCCCTCCAACTTTTCCTAGGCCATCCCCTACCCTGCCTTCCCTCCACTACAGATTTATTTATTTTTTTATTATCACACCGGCCGATTCCCACCAAGGCAGGGTGGCCCGAAAAAGAAAAACTTTCACCATCATTCACTCCATCACTGTCTTGCCAGAAGGGTGCTTTACACTACAGTTTTTAAACTGCAACATTAACACCCCTCCTTCAGAGTGCAGGCACTGTACTTCCCATCTCCAGGACTCAAGTCCGGCCTGCCGGTTTCCCTGAATCCCTTCATAAATGTTACTTTGCTCACACTCCAACAGCACGTCAAGTATTAAAAACCATTTGTCTCCATTCACTCCTATCAAACACGCTCACGCATGCCTGCTGGAAGTCCAAGCCCCTCGCACACAAAACCTCCTTTACCCCCTCCCTCCAACCCTTCCTAGGCCGACCCCTACCCCGCCTTCCTTCCACTACAGACTGATACACTCTTGAAGTCATTCTGTTTCGCTCCATTCTCTCTACATGTCCGAACCACCTCAACAACCCTTCCTCAGCCCTCTGGACAACAGTTTTGGTAATCCCGCACCTCCTCCTAACAGATTTATACACTCTCGAAGTTGTTCTATTTCGTTTCAACCTCTCTGCATGTCCGAACCCTCTCATCAACCCTTCCTCAGCCCTCTGGATAATAGTTTTGGTAATCCCACACCACCTCCTGATTTCCAAAAATTTTCTGCACTATATTCACACCACACATTGCCCTCAGACATGACATCTCCACTGCCTCCAGCCTTCTCCTTGTTGCAACAGTCACCATCCATGTTTCACACCCATGTAAGAGCATTGGTTTAACTATTCTCTCATATATTTCCCTCTTTGCTTCCATGAACAAAGTTCTTTGTCTCCACAGACTTCTAAGTGCACCACTAACCTTTTTGCCCTCATCTTTCATAGACCCAAATATGTAGAGTATTTGTGTATATATTTGAATTGATGAGGGAAAAAAGGTGAGTGGTGCATTGAGGTATATGTGGAGTCAAAAAACACTATCTATGGAGGCAAAGAAGGGAATGTATGAAAGTATAGTGGTACCAACACTCTTATATGGATGTGAAGCTTGGGTGGTAAATGCAGCAGCGAGGAGACGGTTGGAGGCAGTGGAGATGTCCTGTCTAAGGGCAATGTGTGGTGTAAATATTATGCAGAAAATTCGGAGTGTGGAAATTAGGAGAAGGTGTGGAGTTAATAAAAGCATTAGTCAGAGGGCAGAAGAGGGGTTGTTGAGGTGGTTTGGTCATTTAGAGAGAATGGATCAAAGTAGAATGACATGGAAAGCATATAAATCTATAGGGGAAGGAAGGAGGGGTAGGGGTCGTCCTCGAAAGGGTTGGAGAGAGGGGGTAAAGGAGGTTTTGTGGGCGAGGGGCTTGGACTTCCAGCAAGCGTGCATGAGCGTGTTAGATAGGAGTGAATGGAGACGAATGATACTTGGGACCTGACGATCTGTTGGAGTGTGAGCAGGGTAATATTTAGTGAAGGGATTCAGGGAAACCGGCTATTTTCATATAGTCGGACTTGAGTCCTGGAAATGGGAAGTACAATGCCTGCACTTTAAAGGAGGGGTTTGGGATATTGGCAGTTTGGAGGGACATGTTGTGTATCTTTATACGTATATGCTTCTAAACTGTTGTATTCTGAGCACCTCTGCAAAAACAGTGATAATGTGTGAATGTGGTGAAAGTGTTGAATGATGAAAGTATTTTCTTTTTGGGGATTTTCTTTCTTTTTTGGGTCTCCCTGCCTCGGTGGGAGACTGCCGACTTGTTGAAAAAAAAAAAATTGTGTATGTGTGGGTCTTCAAAGATATTTTATTTGGATTATTAATCAAGAGGATTAGTAACCTAGGATAACAGGATAAAGCACTGTGCCTGACTTATTTTCATTGGTGGTCACTTAATCCTTGTCTCCAGAATGTGAGCCACTGCATTTGGCTAACACCCAGGGTGAACAGAGGCAATAGGAATAAGGAAACCTGCCAAATGGTGGAATCAAATCCAAGTTTTGTAGATGAGAGTTGACAGTATGTGTAGTTTCAAATAAAAATAGTCAGAGTTAAAAGGAGTACAAATGATTTGGAAAGTCAGTGATTATGCAGAGCATTTTGAGTTTGCTAAAACCACTAAAAAACTCACACAGTGTTGATAAGACTTTCTTGGGAACAAAGCTAAAAAGATTCACTTGAGCATAGATTGCAAAATTAGCAGTGTTGGAGATATTTGTGCATTCGCAATTTCACCCACTTTCAGCCCTGTTTTGGGCCAATTCCATTATTCCAGTTGACCAAATTCATAGCTATTTTGCTAGAACTTCTTTTATTCTATTGATTAACCAATCGAAAGGCAGAATGAGGGGTAACTTCTTGGGAGTGCACCTGGAAAAGGGTGGGCAGTGCATTGAGGCATCTGTGGAGACAAAGAACTTTATCCATGGAGGCAAAAATGGAATGTACCAGAGTATAATGGTACTAACGTTGTTGTATAGGTGTGAAGCATGGGTCTTGAAAGTTGCAGTGAAGAGGATAGAGGCATTGAAGATATTGTATTTGAGGGTAATGTGTGATGTAAATATTATGCAGATAATGTGGAGATAAGGTGTAGTTACCAAAAGTATTATTCAAGAGGGTTGAGGAAGGGTTATTGAGGTGGTTTAGGCATTTAGAAATGATAGAGAAAAGTAGAATGACCAGGAGGACTTTTTTTTTTTTTTTTCAACAAGTCGGCCGTCTGCCACCGAGGCAGGGTGACCCAAAAAGAAAGAAAATCCCCAAAAAGAAAATACTTTCATCATCACTCAACACTTTCACCTCACTCACACATAATCACTGTTTTTGCAGAGGTGCCCAGAATACAATAGTTTAGAAGTATACACGTATAAAAATACACAATACAGTGGACCCCCGCTTAACGATCACCTCCCAATGCGACCAGTTATGTAAGTGTATTTATGTAAGTGCGTTTGTACGTGTATGTTTGGGGGTCTGAAATGGACTAATCTACTTAACAATATTCCTTTTGGGAACAAATTCGGTCAGTACTGGCACCTGAACATACTTCTGGAATGAAAAAATATCATTATCCGGGGGTCCACTGTATATCCCTCTAAACTGCCAATATCCCAAACCCCTCCTTTAGAGTGCAGGCATTGTACTTCCCATTTCCATGACTCAAGTCCGGTTATATAAAATAACCGGTTTCACTGAATCCCTTCACTAAATATTACCCTGCTCACACTCCAACAGATCGTCAGGTCCCAAATACCATTCGTCTCCATTCACTCCTATTGAACACACTCATGCATGCCTGCTGGAAGTCCAAAACCTCCCTTACCCCTTTCTTCCAACCTTTTCGAGGACAACCCCTACCCCGCCTTCCTTCTCCTACAGATTTAAATGCTCTCCATGCCATTCTACTTTGATGCATTCTCTCTAAATGACCAAACCACCTCAACAACCCCTCTTCAGCCCTCTGACTAATACTTTTATTAACTCCACACCACCTCCTAAATTCCACATTCCAAATTTTGTGCATAATATTTACACCACACATTGCCCTTAGACAGGACATCTCTACTGCCTCCAACCAATTTGATTCAAATATTCAAATATTTTATATTCTTAAAATTTCTTTTCTAGTAAACACTAGGTCTGGTATTGATAATATGCTGCCTTCTCTCGTTGAAGAGTAGATGTGTTGATACATCAATCATCATTATCATGAATTCTTTATCATCATCATCTTGTATCTGATACCTGGTAACATATACCTGCCTCCAGGTATACATTAAGGATTTTTATTGATCATTTCTGATTTATTCTTTTTAATAGGTCATCCAATCTCTTTGTAATTGAAATCCACTACTAGCAATATAATGACCAATTTTTTTCATTATCAGTTTTCAATAGTGTTATTTATATAGAACATATAATACCTTACTTAGTAGTCCCTAGTCAAAAGATTCATTCCCATGTGCTATTCAATGGGTTCCATGCATTTGGTGTAATTTTTACCATTAACATTTCAACATTACTGTACTATGTGCAAAACAACCATGTTGGGAGTTGAATGATAGCTCTAGGCTATCATTGCATGTTTGTTTTGCATCTTGTATTACTTGCTCCCGATATTTGCATATTACAAAGGAACCTTGGTTGTTGAATGCACTACTTGTTGAACAAATCAGTTTTCGAATGAGGAATTCGAGAAAAGCATGTCAGGGTTTTCATATGTGCTCTAGTTGTTGACAGACAACGCTCCCAGGGTCAAAGAATTTAAAATAAAAAAATCTTATTAAATGATAGATAATCTTTTTCCGAAGGTAATGAAATCAAATGTATGAAATTTGATGGAAAATTTACCAAATTATGCTATTGCAAAGTTAGCAGTCTTGGAGATATTTATGCATTAGCAATTTCATCCACTTTGAGCCCTATTTTGGCCCATTTCCATTGTTCCAGTTGACCAAACTCATAGCTTTTTGCTAGAACTTCTTTTATTCTATTGATTGAGTACAAGAAACTGCATTTACCTATTTCAACTACCCAATAAAGTGACCTGAAATTACTAATTGGGCCAATTTCACACAAAATTCGAGAAAGGCCAATTTCAAAATAGGGTTCAGAATAAACAATGCAAACATTCCTGGCACTAAAATAACATTTTCTCTGTTCATTAGTCACATCTCCAGGCCCCTCTTACATTACGCTTGCTTTTCATTTTGAATTTTTATTCACGAAAAATAGATTTGCTTTTATTCAGACTATTGCATAATTGTAATAATTGTATAAATAATATCAGCACATTTGTGAATGCATATTAGACCCACCAGTTGACATGTATTGCATGTGTGACATGATTTGTTTACTCTTGAACATCAGCAAAAATCAAACATTTCCATTACTTTGACCTCAGTTGCAAGCTACTTTTAGTCTGTAAACCATTCAAAAAATCATCTCTATTTCTGTAATATATCTTCTATTCTATCAAATGAGACCAAGAAAACAAGAATGCAACCATAAATACCATATGAAAATACACCGCATAGTTGCTGTTCGTGATGCAGAATTTTTTTTATACTGCACACACTGATCATGCAGACCCATTCTCTCACATGTAGGCCTACCAGCTTTCTCCCACAAGATTTGAAGCCACTAGAATTTTGCCATTAGCTCTCCTCTGACAAGTAAGAGGCCGTTAAATTTTCATTTACTGTACAGTATTTTAGTTAAATTTTCGTTTATTATTCATTTTTACAGTTTCCCTGTGCTGTATAATTTTATATGTTGCTTCTTGTAGTGGTTAGTACATTATTATTAATAAATTATTATATTGTCATTTGGAGTCTGGAACAGATTATTTCAATTTTCCTTATTCTTTATGGGAAAAATTGCTTTGGTTGTCATCAATTTTGATTGTAGAATCGACATCTGGAACGAATTAAATTTGACAACCGAGGTTCCATTGTACTGTATTTGTATTTTGAATTTTGATTGCTGTAGCTTATATTTTTATTTGCCAGTGTACTGTACTACTATTCCACCCAATTTTTTTCAGCAATCTTTTCTTAATACATTTTTTTGATTGATTGCCACCTCAGATAAAATATTTTTTTTCTCTCTCTCCCTATTAATAAAGTAAATATGCAGTCATATAACCAGCTCAGCCTGGTAAACATGAATTATAAACACAATCACCTTAGACCCTGGTAGTAGTAATTGTACCATGCCATTCTTTGTTCAGTTAACAAGCCAACTCCCCTCATTAACATTTGCTCCTGCCCTAAAACTGTACCTTTATATTTCATTTAATTCCACGTTTTGCAGCGTTTTACTGAACGTTAATGCATGTCTTCCTGATTCCAAACTTTATCTGTTTTTACATGTGTGTGTGTGTGAAGCTACTTGTATTTTAGTCACAGGGAAGAGACACTGATATACAATGTTGCACTAAAAAATATTTAACTTTGTTCTCGTCCAATGAATTTTATAAGGTGTTTCAAGTTGATGCACCATCAGGCTGTTACTACCCGCCAACCCTAATTACTGGTGTAGGAACTACATCCCGCACAGTTGTGGAAGAGATATTTGGCCCTGTTCTTATAGCCATGCCATTTAGGTAAGTTTGGTTAGATCTTAATTTTCTGCAGTAATATTCTGGAACTGAGATATATAAATCTGTTTAACCAGAAAGGGCAATAAAAGACATTGGATAGAATGTAGAGAGGTAGAGATGTAGTGCTTATCTTGAAACACTTTACAATACAATAACTACACTGTACAACATACTTTGTTTTGTTTTGTACTAGTACTTCCTGAAGCACGTACCAGAATACAGGTCCACATCCCTTTATCCGAAACCCTGAGGGCCAGTATTTCGAATTTCACCTGCCACTCTGGCTGTCAGTGCTGGGTCACGTCGCCATGTGGCGGCATGACCCAGCACTGAGATAACTGATGTTCCACACTCCACAAAATAACTTCGGTCTTTGGAACTTTTCAAATTTCAGAATTTCAGATAAAGGGATGTGGACCTGTATTATTAGTGTTATTAGATATGATTTCCGAAATATTTTTTGCAAAAAATTTGGCAAAAAGGATCACTTGGTAATGGAAATAATTCAGGTGACAAGTATAGTGGCTACATAACCAAGTAACAGACACCTCTGCTGCTCCATTGGTAATTCCACACTGACTCTCAACACCCCACCCCCACTCCCACTCCTTGTTGCCTTGCAACTTTCCTTGCTTGTTGGTTACTCATATCCTCTCATCACTACCACTAGCTCCTTCATCACCTGTTTTGCCACCCCCACTGCCCTCTCATACCCCTTGTGTTGCCATCATCATCATTCCCTGCTGTCTTGCCAGTCACATTACCCCTCTCCAGCTTTGCCATCACCCACTACCATTATGTAATGCCTCATTGCCATGCCACGCACCACCCCTGCTGCAGTATTACTCACACCACCCTGGGCTGCAGTGCCGCACACCACCCCCTGCTGCAGCACCACTCACACCATCCCCTGTTGCAGTACCACTCACACCACCCACGTGCCACTCTTCTCTGCCTTAGTAATTTAGTAAATTCAAACTGATAATGTTAATTGTTGTAGTACGTATATAGAAATTTAGTTAATGGATAATTATGATTACTGTACTATAGGCATGAATACAATGCAGCGTAGTATAGTACAGTAATTGGTATTACTGTAAAATACTGAAACATGGATTCCATGATTAATATCGCTTGTAAAAGTATTTTCGTATTAATAGCTTACATATTAAGCAAATTTTAAGTGTCTTTTTATCCTATAATAAAAACTGGCAACTTTGTAAAATGCCTAATAAATACTGTCAATCTTGTGTACTTCTCAGAACTGCCAAGGAGGCCATATCTTTGGCCAATAACACTATATATGGGCTAGGTGCATCAGTCTTCACTGAACAGATGACTCTTGCTATTGAAACTGCCAAAATGATCAAGGTAAGTTTTTTTTTATTTTGTTTGGGTGACTTAGCAGGTTTAAACCTAAGAATATTATCATTACATTCGTGAGAGCACTAAACAAGTAGAGTTGTTCAGCACCTGGGAAAATCCTCACTTAGTGACGTACTCATTTACCAACGACTCAGACTTATGACGGGGGTCTGACTAGTAGGCATACCTAAAGAACGCATATTAGAGCTGATTTCCTCTATTCTGTTTATTACAATATACAGCACACTACTGTATAAACATTTAAAAATGCAGTGGAACCCGAGTTTTGAACTTAATCCGTTCCAGGAGCTAGTTCTAAAGTCAAAACATTTGAAACTCAAAGCAATATTTCCCATATGAAATAATGTAAATGCAATTAATCCATTCCAGAAACCCAAAAATATTCACAAAAAAAATGCATTTTATAGAGATTATTTATAGTTCTACATACACACAACAAACATACATAGTACAATAAGTATTAGATAAATAAACATTTTCTAGGTAGTAGGTTGGTAGACAGCAGCCACCCAGGGAGGTACTATCGTCCTGCCAAGTGAGTGTAAAACGGAAACCTGTAATTGTTTTACATGATGGTAGGATTGCTGGTGTCTTTTTTTCTGTCTCATAAACTTGCAAGATTTCAGGTACGTCTTGCTACTTCTACTTACACTTAGGTCACACTACACATACATGTACAAGCATATATATACACACCCCTCTGGGTTTTCTGCTATTTTCCTTCTTATTCTTGTTTATTTCCTCTTATTTCCATGGGGAAGTGGAACAGAATTCTTCCTCCGTAAGCCATGTGTGTTGTAAGAGGTGACTAAAATGCCGGGGGCAAGGGGCTAGTAACCCCTTCTCCTCTATAAATTACTAAATTTAACCCTTTCAGAGTCCAGAGGCCAAATTTAAAAGTGTGCACCAGGGTCCAAGAATTTTCAAAAAATAATTTTGTTATTTTTTTCCTATGAAATGGTAGAGAATCTTTTTCTGAAGGTAATAAAATAAAAAGTACAAAATTTGATGGAAAATTGACGAAATTATGCTCTCGCGAATTTTGATGTGTAGGCGATATTTACGCATCGGCGATTTTGCCGAATTTGACTCCCATTTTAGGCCAATTACAGTATTCCAGTCAACCAAATTCTTAGCTATTTCACTAGTATTACTTCTATTCTATCGATTGAGCACAAGAAATCGCCAAGTCAACTGTTTCAGCAACAAAATAAAGTGACTGGAAATTGGTAATTTGGCCAATATAGTGCAAAGTTCAAAATATTCCCATTTCAAAATAGGGTCCAGAATAAACAATGCAGGCATTCCTGGCACTAAACTAACATTTCCTCTATTCATTAGTTATGTTTTCAGGCTTTACAAATGAATTCCATTTTGATTTTTTATTCACAATGAATTTTTATTCAAACCAATAAATAGAAGATTTACTGTTATGCAGTACTGTAATAATTTTAGGAGTGAAGAAGAACAAGATGTGAGTGTGGGGGAGGTGCATGAGGTATTACGTAGAATGAAAGGGGGTAAAGCAGCTGGAACTGACGGGATCATGACAGAAATGTTAAAAGCAGAGGGGGGGGGGATATAGTGTTGGAGTGGTTCGCATTTTTGTTTAATAAATGTATGAAAGAGGGGAAGGTACCTAGGGATTGGCAGAGAGCATGTATAGTCCCTTTATATAAAGGGAAAGGGGACAAAAGAGATTGTAGAAATTATAGAGGAATAAGTTTACTAAGTATACCAGGAAAAGTGTATGGTAGGGTTATTATTGAAAGAATTAGAGGTAAGACAGGATGTAGGATTGCGGATGAGCAAAGATGTTTCAGAGTGGGTAGGGGATGTGTAGATCAAGTGTTTATATTGAAGCATATATGTGAACAGTATTTAGATAAAGGTAGGGAAGTTTTTATTGTATTTATGGATTTAGAAAAGGCATATGATAGAGTAGATAGGGGAGCAATGTGGCAGATGTTGCAAGTACAGTGGAACCTTGACTTAAGAGTTTAATCCGTTCCAGGAGCTAGCTCGTAACTCAATTTACTCATATATCAAATTAATTTTCCTCATTTAAATTAATTGAAAAACCATTAATCCGTTCCTGAACTCTGGAGAGCCAAGAAAAATTACTTGAATATGACGCTATTATCAACTATACGGCTTATTTGTCTATCACAATTCATCTAATATGACATAATAAACAATATAGTTAACACAGAAACATGATATATACTCAAGAATTAATAAAATAGGCCATAATACAGTGGCAGAGGCAGCGGCGAATGTGTCTGCCATTTCCTGTGTGTATATACTGAGAGTATCTTCCCATGCTCTTATTGTAAGAGAAAACAGAGTATTTTTCAGGCTAACTGCAATAGATCACCATTTTTCCAAGGAAAACACTGAAAATATTGTATATAAACACATAATAAATCATAATATACTACAGAATTTAAAGAAATAATAAACTGTTTATATAAAGTGTATATGTACTCACACATTGAACATAACTGATACAATTTGTTTTGTTTAATCACTGAATATAACTGATACGGAATCTCCTGCGAACTGCTTCTCTCTCAACCATGTCAGCAGCAACTTCTCCATCTTTTCATGGACAGAGGTCCGCAGCTCAGACGTTATTGTAATGCCCTTGGCTGACACTATAGCCTTGAACGACTCCTGCTGCTTTAGTATCGTACATATAGTAAATTATTATTATTATAATCAAGGGGGAAGCGCTAAACCCGGAGGATTATACAGCGCCTGGGGGGGGGTGGAAGACATTCAGGCTTAATTCGGGGAACTGGAGCACAGACCCAATTCCCTAAATCAAGAGCTTCTCACCAACATCAAGGAACCTTCCTTGAGGGGTACATATAGTAGATGTACTGCGCTGGTATTGTCTGGCTAAATCCACAACTCGTGCACCTTGCATATGTTTATCTATGATTTCATGCGTTAATTCCATGGAAATCATCATCTTTTTCTTCTCAGCACTGTCCTTTACACTTATTTTCTTAGGACCCATGGTTAGAAAAGCGAAATTTGGCAAAATGACTGTCAAAATTGTAAGCAAATCAGGAGAGAACTGCTTCGACAGCAATGTAAACATCAGCTGCGCGAACTAGCGGCAGGATTCTGAATTATTATTACGTACGTATTATGTACATTATTATTATTATTATTATTAATTTAGGGAACTGAAGCTCTATCGTTATTGTAAAATAATAATAATTATTATTATTATTATTGATAGTTTAGGGAACTGAAGCTTTATTGTTATAATAATTATTATTATTATTATTACTATTAATTTAGGGTACAAGCTCTATCGTCATTGCAATACTAATAATAATAATAATAATTATTATAATTAATAATTTAGAGAACTGAAGCTGTCATTATTATTATTATTACTATTTTTTTAACAAGTCGGCCGTCTCCCACCGACGCAGGGTGACCCAAAAAGAAAGAAAATCCCCAAAAAGAAAACACTTTCATCATCATTCAACTCTTTCACCTCACTCACACATAATCACTGTTTTTGCAGAGGTGCTCAGAACACAACAGTTCAGAAGCATATACAGTGGTCCCTCGTTTTTCGTAATTAATCCGTTCCTGGAGGAGCTACTGTTACACCCTTTTGTTCATTTTGTTCATTTTCTTCTTATTATCACAATGGTATACTATTACATGTTATTTTTGCTATTTCACTTAATATTATATTCAGGAGTAATTCCATTAGTAGCTAAAATGGATTTACTCGACTTTATAATATTATCTGGTCGTATTACTTAGCTTTGTATTTAGGTAGGCCATTTAATTAGTGTCAACTGCTGGTGACCTGGCCAAGCACCAGTAGGTGTTTTGAGCTGCTCGACCCCTGCTCCGACTGAGACAAAGTGGGCTGGTAAAGCCTCACAGAGTTCAGTTCTTACCTTCCTCACCTCTCGTGAGGGAAGCTCCCTGATTCTTGGATTTAAACTTCTGGTCCCATATGAGGTTCCCTAGTGACCCTCCAGTACCTCGGATGGTATCTGACAGAAACGTCTCGGACGAAGTGTGTGTTGCTGTTTTGGAGACGCTGGTGATTGTCCCTAGCTCTGCTAGGAGTGAATTTAAGCAGTATTGATTCAAAGAGGACGGTGAAAAAGTCATGGGAGACAGACTCGCCTCAAAATTCCTTTAAGTGTAAAATATTCCTAAACTCACTTAGTATATTATGAAAGTTGAATAAGAGTGAATTATTATTGAAGTGTTACGTCTTCTGTCTCATTTGGATTGAGTTAAGTAAAGTGTTATTATGTGAAGAGAAGGTGTTATGATACTAGAGCCGTTCAGTACTATAATCAAGATAATACTGTGTATTATCTTTTAGTGAACTTAAGTGTAAATTTCATGAGTACTCTGTTTTATGGTGCGACCTTTTTAAAGTTAATATAAAAACCTTCTATGGTTTATTAAGAAACTTAATAAAAAAACGGAAAGAAACATTGTGATTGTTTACTACTGAACAGTTGAATGATTTCATCTAGAACAGGATATTCAGTCCTGTTTATTTGTTGCAAGAAAGGGCTAAACAGGCTTAAGTAGTGGCCCTGTACGCAACAGCTACTATAAACGAAATTTACGATTTGCGAATCAATTTTCCCCATAAGAAATAATGTAAATACAATTAATCCGTTTCTGACACTCAGAAGTATTAAAACTAAAAAAAATTTTACATGAAATATACATGTAGTACATAAACAATACAATGGGAAATGATGAACGAAACATTAACAGCATAACACTTACCTTTATTGGAGATTCTTCTTAGTGTATGGGAGACTGGAGGAGGAGAGAGATTGGATTGTTTACAGTTTGGAAGGGGAATCCCCTTCCAGCAACACCTCAGGTACCAATTGCTTCTCTGGGGTTGCTTCTCTTATCTGTTTCTTAATGCCACTAGGACCACCTTGAGAGTCACTCTAGTCCTGTCTCGCAAAGTAACTGTGGAGAGAGCTCTGTTTCTGGCGTCTCTTTAACACTTCCCTAAAATGGCCCAAGACTTTGTCACTGTACATATTTCTCACCTTCTTTACCACAGGCTTGGCACTAGGAGCTTTCTTTGGAGCCATGGTAGCTTATTTAGTACTTGCAGCACTAAAATGAGTGGAATATTATGAAATATTTCGTAGGAGCACTTGAGGGGACCTTCACTCACTGGTAAACAATGCCAGACTGGCTGGGTAGGGAGGCCTCCCCAGCTCACACCGTGCGTAAGCGTCCTGGACGAACTACTATTTGCGAGTCAACCTATGAAAAGCGAGTCCATGTTTATACAAAAATACCCCTATGATTGGCGAAATTTACGATTGCCGAGAACTACGAAAAGCGAGGGACCACTGTACGTATAAAGATATACAACATATCCCTCCAAACTGTCAATATCCCGAAACCCTCCTTTAGGGTGCAGGCATTGTACTTCCCATTTCCAGGACTCAAGTCCAGCTATATAAAAATAACCGGTTTCCCTGAATCCCTTCACTAAATATTACCCTGCTCACACTCCAACAGATCGTCAGGTCCTAAATACCATTCATCTCCATTCACTCCTATCAAACATGCTCATGCACGACTGCTGGAAGTCCAAGCCCCTCGCCCACAAAACCTCCCTTACCCCTTCCCTCCAACCTTTTCGAGGACGACCCCTACCCCGCCTTCTACAGATTTAAATGCTCTCCATGTCATTCTACTTTGATCCATTCTCTCTAAATGACCAAACCACCTCAAGAACCCCTCTTCAGCCCTCTGACTAATACTTTTATTAACTCCACACCTTCTCCTAATTTCCACACTCCGAATTTTCTGCATAATATTTACACCACACATTGCCCTTAGACAGGACATCTCCACTGCCTCCAACTGCCTCCTCGCTGCTGCACTCACAACCCAAGCTTCACACCCATATAAGAGTGTTGGTACTACTATACTTTCATACATTCCCTTCTTTGCCTCCATAGATAACAAATTAAGGAGTGGGGGACTACACCATGCTGGCAGCTAGTGGCATAGTGATGCAGCCACTGGCACTACAAAAATACCAACCACTCCAAAACTATATCTCCCCCTGCTTTTAACATTTCTATCATGATCCTGTCAGTTCCAGCTGCTTTACCCCCTTTCATTCTACGTAATGCCTCACGCACCTCCCCCACACTCACATCCTGTTCTTCTTCACTCCTAAAAGTTGGTATACCTCCCTGGCCAATGCATGAAATTACCTCTTCCCTTTCTTCGTCAACATTTAAAAGCTCCTCAAAATATTCTCGCCATCTACCCAAAACCTCCATCTCCCCATCTTCTAACTCCCCTACTCTGTTTTTAACTGACAAATTCATTCGTTCTCTAGGCTTTCTTAACTTGTTTAACTCCAAAATTTTTTTCTTATTTTCATTAAAATTTCTTGACAGCTCTTTTCCCACTCTATCATCTGCTCTCCTTTTGCACTCTCTCACCACTCTCTTTACCTTTCTTTTAATCTCCATATACTCTACTCTTCTTATAGCACTTCTGCTTTGTAAAAACCTCTCATAAGCTAACTTTTTCTCTTATCACACCCTTTACTTCATCATTCCACCAATCACTCCTCTTTCCTCCTGCACCCACCCTCCTATAACCACAAACCTCTGCCCCACATTCTAATACTGCATTTTTAAAACTGTTCCAACCCTCTTCAACCCCCCCACTACTCATACTTGCACCAGCCCACCTTTCTGCCAATAGTTGTTTATATCTCACCCGAACTTCCTCCTCCCTTAGTTTATACACTTTCACCTCCCTCTTGCTTCTTGTTGCCATTTTCCTCTTTTCCCGTCTACCTCTTACTCTAACTGTAGCTACAACTAAACAATGATCCGATATATCAGTTGCCCCTCTATAAACGTGTACATCCTGGAGCCTACCCATCAACCTTTTGTCCACCAATACATAATCTAACAAACTACTTTCATTACATGCTATATCATACCTTGTATATTTATTTATCCTCTTCTTCATAAAATATGTGTTACTTATTACCAAACCTCTTTCTACACATAGCTCAATTAAAGGCTCTCCATTTTCATTTACCCCTGGCACCCCAAATTTACCTCCTACTCCCTCCACAACATTTTTGCCCACTTTAGCATTGAAATCCCCAACCACCATTACTCTCACACTTGGTTCAAAACTGCCCACGCATTCACTCAACATTTCCCAAAATCTCTCTCTCCTCTACACTTCTCTCTTCTCCAGGTGCATATACGCTTACTATAACCCACTTTTCACCTCTAACCTTCATTTTACTCCACATAATCCTTGAATTAATACATTTATAGTCCCTATTTTCCTGCCATAACTTATCCTTCAACATTATTGCTACTCCTTCTTTAGCTCTAACTCTATTTGAAACCCCTGACCTAATCTCATTTATTCCTCTCCACTGAAATTCTCCCACCCCCTTCAGCTTTGTTTCACTTAAAGCCAGGACATCCAGCTTCTTCTCAAATTATTTAGATAAAGAAAAATTTGATATCAAATTGGGGAGGAGGAGTATGGAAGAAGTGAATGTTTTCAGATACTTGGGAGTTGACATGTCGGCAGATGGATTTATGAAGGATGAGGTTAATCATAGAATTGATGAGGGAAAAAAGGTGAGTGGTGCGTTGAGGTATATATGGAGACAAAAAAACGTTATCTATGGATGCAAGGAAGGGAATGTATGAAAGTATAGTACGTAGTACCAACACTCTTATATGGGTATGAAGCTTGGGTTGTGAATGCAGCATCAAGGAGGCAGTTGGAGGCAGTGGAGATGTCCTGTCTAAGGGCCATGTGTGGTGTAAATATTATGCAGAGAATTCGGAGTGTGGAAATTAGGAGAAGGTGTGGAGTTAATAAAAGTATTAGTCAGAGGGCTGAAGAGGGGTTCTTGAGGTGGTTTGGTCATTTAGAGAGAATGGATCAAAGTAGAATGACATGGAGAGCATTTAAATCTGTAGGGGAAAGAAGGCGGGGTAGGGGTCGTCCTCGAAAAGGTTGGAAGGAAGGGGTAATGGAGGTTTTGTGGGCGAGGGGCTTGGACTTCCAGCAGGCGTGCATGAGCGTGTTTGATAGGAGTGAATGGAGACAAATGGTATTTGGGACCTGATGATCTGTTGGAATGTGAGCAGGGTAATATTTAGTGAAGGGATTCAGGGAAACCGGTTATTTTTATATAGCCGGACTTGAATCCTGGAAATGGGAAGTACAGTGCCTGCACTCTAAAGGAGGGGTTTCGGGATATTAGCAGTTTGGAGGGATATGTTGTGTATCTTTATACGTATATGCTTCTAAACTGTTGTGTTCTGAGCACCTTTGCAAAAACAGTGATTATGTGTGAGTGAGGTGAAAGTGTTGAATGATGATGAAAGTATTTTTTTGGGGGGGATTTTCTTTCTTTTTGGGTCACCCTGCCTCAGTGGGAGGCGGCTGACTTGTTAAAAAAAAAAAAAAACTTTTTTTCATTATGAATTTATCTAGACTATGTTCTCCAAATGCATAAACTCTGACAAATAAGGAATATTGAAGACTGATGCTCATAGTGTGTGCTTCTCCTTCCAAGTTTGCTACTTTTATGACATTGGACTGCATTACTCTGTTGACATAAATAGTGATTTAGTTAATATTAGTAATCTTTAAACTTCACTTGGTCATAGATTACATTACTTTGTCAGTTTATAATCATAAATAAATTATATGATTAGTCTTTCTTTCTCACCTCATTCTCCGAAAATCCCTGTATACTATGTATTTCATAATCGAGCTGAGTAAACATGTTTATTCGTCCTACAGGTATTCCAAATTCTGATTAGCAAGTTTGTTCCCTCCTGAGTGCATTTTGTTTAAAATATTGTTGATCAAAATGGTGTTCAGCAGTTGACTATATTTCTTTCTTTCAACACACTGACCGTATCCCACCGAGGCGGGGTGGCCCAAAAGGAAAAACGAAAGTTTCTCCTTTTACATTTAGGAATATATACAGGAGAAGGGGTTACTAGCCCCTTGTTCCCGGCATTTCAGTCGCCTCTTACAACACGCATGGCTTACAGAGGAAGAATTCTGTTCCACTTCCACATGGAGATAAGAGGAAATAAACAAGAACAAGAACTAGAAAGAAAATAGAAGAAAACCCAGAGGGGTGTGCTTGTACATGTACGTGTAGTGTGACCTAAGTGTAAGTAGAAGTAGCAAGACGTACCTGAAATCTTGCATGTTTATGAGACAGAAAAAATGGACACCAGCAATCCTACCATCATGTAAAACAATTACAGGCTTTCGTTTTACACAGACTTGGCAGGACGGTAGTATCTCCCTGGGCGGTTGCTGTCTACCAACCTACTACCTATATGACTATATTTGTATACATATTTTAATTCTTCATAGGCAGGTGCTGTCTGGATTAACTGCCACAACATGTTTGATGCTGCTGCTGGCTTTGGTGGATACAAGCAGAGTGGCTTTGGGCGGGATGGAGGTAAAGAAGGTAAGCTGCTAATATTAATAAGGAACATTTTATTGTTACTGTAGGGAAAGGAAGGCGGGCTAGGGGTCGTCCTCGAAAAGGTTGGAAGGAAGGGGTAAGGGAGGTTTTGTGGGTGAGGGGCTTGGACTTCCAGCAGGGGTGCACGAGTGTGTTTGATAGGAGTGAATGGTATTTGGGACCTGACGATCTGTTGGAGTGTGAGCAGGGTAATATTTAGTGAAGGGATTCAGGGAAACCGGTTATTTTATATAACCGGACTTGAGTCCTGGAAATGGGAAGTACAATGCCTGCACTCTAAAGGAGGGGTTTCGGGATATTGGCAGTTTGGAGGGATATATTGTGTATTTTTATACGTATATCCTTCTAAACTGTTGTATTTCTGGGCACCTCTGCAAAAACAGTGATCATGTGTGAGTGAGGTGAAAGTGTTGAGTGATGATGAAAGTATTTTCTTTTTGGGGATTTTCTTTCTTTTTGGGTCACCGTGCCTCGGTGGGAGACGGCCGACTTGTTGAAAAAAAAAAAGTATACACAAGTACAGTGGACCCCCGCCTTACGATATTAATCCGTTCCTGAGAGCTCATCGTAAGCCGAAATTATCGTAAGGCGAATTAATTTTCCCCATTAGAAATAATGGAAATCAAATTAATCTGTGCAAGACACCCCAAAGTATGAAAAAAAATTGGACCACATGAAATATTAATTTTAATATACACAAACTGAAGAAGACATGCACAATTACTACTCTACTAAGAATAGAATACATGATACTTACCTGTATTGAAGATCTGATGATGATTGATGGGATGGGAGGAGGGGAGTGTGTGGAAGTTATTGTTTAGAAGGGGAATCCCCCTTCTATTAGGACTTGAGGTAGCAAGTCCTTTTCCAGGGTTACTTCCCTTCTTCTTTTAATGCCACAAGGACCAGCTTGAGAGTCATTGGACCTCTGTTGCACAGCAAATCTGTCCATAGAGGTCTGTAACTCCCGTTCCTTTAAGGTTTGCCTAAAATGGGCCACAACATTGTCATTGTACAGGTTGCCAACACGGCTTGCAATAGCTGTGTTAGGGTGCTTTTCATCCATAAAGGTTTGCACTTCAACCCACTTTGCACACATTTCCTTAATCTTTGAAGTAGGCACAATGGATTCCACAACTGGCATAGGCTTCTCAGGGTTAGCCCCAAACCCTTCAAAATCTTTCTTAATTTCCATACTAATTCTCACCCTTTTTACCACAAGGATGGCACTAGAAGCTTTCTTGGGGCCCATGGTGACTTATTTTGCAGTTACAAGCACAAAAAACACTGGGATAAGGTGAAATGTACTGAATGTATGCGTGGATGCGACCGCACTGGCTGGCTTGTAAACATTGGCGCTGAGGCCACACGTGGGACGTGTCCCGGACGAATCGCATGAGGCGAGGCAAAATTTTTGCGTTCAAATGTATCGTATGGCGGATTTAACATAACGCGATGCCATCATAAGGCAGGGGTCCACTGTATAATTATCAGACTATATATAAAATATGAAATAACTTTTAAAAACACTTGAAATTTTGGAGTTTCCAGACATAATGGAGAGACTTAGTACTTATGGATCCCACATAGAATGTAAACAAACAGGGTGGGGCACGGTGACCGTATTAGAAAGTCAGGTGGGGGAGCCGTATAGAGAGTTTTGGTCATAATTTGAAATGACCGTATTAGCAGAACGCCGTAAAGCGGGGGCCCTACTGTACTTGTGTAGGACTTAGCCAATTCATCCTGGCTTAAAGGGTTACTTGTCCAACACTGTGAACTTTAGGGGCATGTGGTGCATCATTTGGAAGCTTTCTGTGACATAGTTGCCTTGTCAGTTCCTCAGAAAAGGAAGGGGTTTCACGGTTAATATTTAACCTCCCAACTTCTTTTATTTATCTTACATGTCATGATACAATGTATAGAAAGGGTATACATTGGAATGTTATTAATTGGGATTACAGTGGAATGTTATTAATTGGGATTACCTAAACTGAAGAAAAAATAAAATAGGCTGCTATGAGTTGAACACGAAAGGAGCTGTGGAAAACCAGATGGAAAAAAGACTTGGAAGTAATAGTGGCCAGTAATTTGAAGCTAAGTATGCAGTATTCAGGAAGTAAATTATGCAAGCAGGATTTTAGGCTTTATTGGAAAAAATATCTGAATTCTGATCCAAGTTATTCTCAATCTATAGTATTTGCTAATATGTCCTGTTATATAGTGTAACCCCTCATGTTGGGATATTGATCAAAGGAACTGAACATGTTCATCCCTTCCTGGGCTGAATTTTATTGCCTCCTATTTCCCAAGCAGTGTATGACTTCTATGACTTAAGTGCTTTATTTCCCTCAATATTACAGTATTACTATAATCTAGGTCAGTGGTTCCCATAACAATATCACTTGTGTACCCTTTTCATTTTGTATTATTAACCACACACTTCTTTCCTGTAATGTCTAATGAGTTAAAGACATGCAGACGGAACAATATGCATAACTTCACTGTACAACAGCATAGGTCGTATTGAGAAAAAAAGACAAACTTGCAATATAAAAGCTTTATGTATTCATACACGAGTTGTTACTGTGAACAGCTATATGCAGTATGACAATATATTCACAAAAATTAATGTAATTTTTGTATCAAGAAAAATAGCGTCCATATTTTTAAATAAAGATGCAAATTTAGGCATAAACTGCAAATATATTTTGACAAGCTTTGTTTGCCTAGAATAAAGACCAGGTTTAATATTTATGCCAGCAAATGGGTCATGCTAGCCTAGTAGCCAGGTCACCTCGTGGACAATACCTGGGCTCGGACTATGCCAGTGAGTCAAACTGGAACCAGCCTAGTAGCATGCCAAAATGGAATTCTTTATTGTACAGCAAAATATTGTATTTCATTTTAAATACAACTGTTGTTGATAGTGTATTGTCAGGTGTTGCATGAACTGTTGGGATCATATAGCACATGGGGGAATGAGAGGGATTCAGATTTGATCCAAGGAAGGGGATGGCATGGCCAATTCCTTGGATCAAGAGCCATCATTGGCCAAGGGACCTCCTTTGAGGGTATATTATGCATAGAAAGGTTGTCTCAGTTTACGTTCATTAATAATTACTGAACATAAATGTTGAAAAAAATCAATAATGACAGTTGCAACACAATAAATTGTAATAACTCACTCATTTACCACCTGAACATCCCGTTGTATACCTCTGGGGAACCATGCCTCAGTTTGGGATCCTATATTCTTGGGTGCTGTGGTAGTTTTGATCACCATAATTGAGGTAGGATATTGTTGACTAAGACACACGGGCATTATCTAGGGAGCTTTATTTGAGAAACATTTTCACCACCAGGGTCGTTATCAGGATAATGCAGACACATCAGAAAGTAGACTTGCATTAAGGAAACAGAGATATGGAGCTATAAAGTGATATAAGCATGGGCTGGGCTTGCTAGTGAAGATATAATATGTTGACTGGAGGTATTAATCAGATTTGATGTGCAGTGAAGAAGTAGTAGTAGTAGTAGTAATGGTTAATCTTAGAGTAAGCTCTGTCGACTATGAAGGCTTTGTGCTGTAAGCAGAAAGTCAGGATATTCTCTGTACCAAGATTCCATTAGGCATTCATAGATGTAGAGGGTATCAGCAAGAAAAAGCTCAGTAGCAATAAAAGGATTTATTTTTTTAAATGTTTGATAATCTCAATTGTAAAATTAATATTTCATTTATACAATCCTTTTACAGGTCTCTTTGAGTATGTGAAACCTTCATGGCAAAGTCGCTTAAGCTTTGAGGCTCCTGAATTTGATCTTAAAAAATTTGGTGCTTCTTACATGGCAGACCGACCTTCACTCAATACAGCCACACCTCAGGTTTGATAATTTAGCATTTTCCTTCAAATTTATCATTAGTCTTCATTTGCTCTACTAATTAATTTGCATTAAAGAAAATTATTGGTAGATTCACACAAGAAGTATGTGCTAGGTTTTTGAAAATTGGTGAGTACAGTGTTATGAAAATACACTTTATATAGTATTTGAAAAATTGAGTTACTGGGTATGTTTCAAACATTTGGAACTGATTTGGTATTGATTTGATACTACAAACTGCAGAAAAGTACACTTGCGTAAAGTTCAGGACATTTATTGCAGGTAACGTTTTGCCATGAGTGGTATCAACAGTCCTAGGACTGATGAAGCCACACATAGTAAAACATTTCCTTTAATAAATGTCCTGAACTGTACAAAGGTGTCCTTTTCCACAGTTTGGCAGTAATTACTTGTAGGTACTGCATTATTAAAAATTTCCCTAAGTAATTGAAGTAGATGTTCAGGTGTGAAATTGTATCAAATTCTACTACCAGTTGTAGTTTTACTTGGAGGCCTTAGTGACATCTGAACAAAGGTATCAAAAATGTCGTATGCAACTACATATTGATCTCTGATTCATTGACCAGCTGATGTTAAACCTCTACACTATGTAGCAAAAACTCAGATTAAGCACAATCTTTTCTGAAGCTATGTAGACAGTCTCATGTTAGTAATTTTTTTTTTTATTATTATTACCCAAATTTTACTAGTGATTGACAATAGTGACACTGGTCTGTATATAATACCAGTACACGGTATACAGGTCTTTTTGCGAATATTAACTGCATTTGCCTTCCATAAATAAGACTATTTACCTTTTGCTAGGCAGAGGTGATAGAGATGAGTCAGTGGTGATCTTGGCAGCCTATACTTTTGTAAAGCAATCTGGCATTTTCTACTTAGGCCACAAGAAAGAGCAACAGAATTTTAGTTTATTATAGATTATTATTCATGCTCTTACTGTGCAAGCCATTAATGCAGCCTGTTTTAGAATATTGCGTGCAGCTTTGGTCACCATATTTGTGTCTAGCATCCAACACCAGATAATACCCACACTTAAAAATTTAATCACGTGAAACCAGTATTCATATTAATCCAGCTGTCTTTACCCTGAGGCTGAGCTGTGGAAGACAGGTTGCTTAAGCTAATGATCTAACAAGGAACCCTATAAAACTTGAGGTAATTCATTTTATAATGTGAAAGGTCATATTGCCTTAATTATTCAAACTTCCTCATAGGAGGCAAAGAAGGGAATGTACGAGCGTGTAGTGGTACCAACACTTATATGGGTGTGAAGCACGGGCTGTGAATGCTGCAGTGAGAAAGGCGGGAGGCAGTGGAGATGTCGTTTCTAAGGGCAGTGTGTGGTGTAAATATTATGCAGAGAATTTGTAGTGTGGAAATTAGAAGGTGGTGTGGAGTTACTAAATGCATTATTCAGAGGGCTAAAGAGAGGTTATTGAGGTAGTTTGGTCATTTAGAGAGGATGGAGCAAAATAGGTTGACTTGGAGGGTGTATAAATCTGTAGTGGTGGGGAGGAGGGTAGAGGTTGCCTTAGGAAGTACGTAGGGAGGGGGTAAAAGGGATTTTGTGTGCAAGGGGCCTGGACATGCAGCAGGAATGTGTGAGCATGTTAGATAGTAGTGAATGAAGGCGAATGGTTTTTGAACCTGATGAGCTGTTGGAGTGTGAGCAGGGTAATGTTTTGTGAAGGGATTCAGGGAAACTGGTTAGAAGGGCTTGAGTCTTGCAGATGGGAAGTACGATGCCTGGACTTTGAAGGAGGGGTTTGGGATATTGGCTGTTTGGAAGGACATTTAAACTGTCATATCTGGGCACCTCTCCAAAGACAGTGATATTGTGTGAATGATGGCAAAAGTGTCTTTCTATTTTGGGTCACCCTACTTCAGTGGGAGATGGCTGACATGTTAAAAAAAAAATGTTTCATCTAAAACTTGCAGATTGTTAGTGCTGATGGAATACTACCACAAGTAGATCGAACATATAAGCTGTATTATGGTGGGGCTCAGAAACGTCCAGATGCCAACTACTGCCGTGTGATCAGTGATGCCAAGGGTAAAGCTTTTGCCCTTGTTGGAGAAAGTAACAGGTAGGACAATAGTCATAATTTTTTTTTTTTTTACCCTAATAATCAAGTTTTTACATGTACAGTAATACCCGAGTTTTCGTCCTTAATCCATTCCAGAAGGTCGGCCAAAATCCAAAATGGACGAAAAACAAAATATGTAATATTTCCCATAAGAAATAATGTAAATCCAATTAATCCATTCCAGACACCCAAAAATATTAAAAAAATACATTTTATAGAGAATAACTATAGTTTTACATAAGAAAACAATGAGAAATAAACATAGAGCATTAATTTTAATGGATAAATGAACATTTAAATCAGTTTTACCTTAAATAAAGTATTAAAAACCATTTGTCTCCATTCACTCCTATCAAACACGCTCACGCATGCCTGCTGGAAGTCCAAGCCCCTCGCACACAAAACCTCCTTTACCCCCTCCCTCCAACCCTTCCTAGGCCGACCCCTACCCCGCCTTCCTTCCACTACAGACTGATACACTCTTGAAGTCATTCTGTTTCGCTCCATTCTCTCTACATGTCCGAACCACCTCAACAACCCTTCCTCAGCCCTCTGGACAACAGTTTTGGTAATCCCGCACTCCTCCTAACTTCCAAACTACGAATTCTCTGCATTATATTCACACCACACATTGCCCTCAGACATGACATCTCCACTGCCTCCAGCCTTCTCCTCGCTGCAACATTCATCACCCACGCTTCACACCCATATAAGAGCGTTGGTAAAACTATACTCTCATACATTCCCCTCTTTGCCTCCAAGGACAAAGTTCTTTGTCTCCACAGACTCCTAAGTGCACCACTCACTCTTTTTCCCTCATCAATTCTATGATTCACCTCATCTTTCATAGACCCATCCGCTGACACGTCCACTCCCAAATATCTGAATACGTTCACCTCCTCCATACTCTCTCCCTCCAATCTGATATTCAATCTTTCATCACCTAATCTTTTTGTTATCCTCATAACCTTACTCTTTCCTGTATTCACCTTTAATTTTCTTCTTTTGCACACCCTACCAAATTCATCCACCAATCTCTGCAACTTCTCTTCAGAATCTCCCAAGAGCACAGTGTCATCAGCAAAGAGCAGCTGTGACAACTCCCATTTTGTGTGTGATTCTTTATCTTTTAACTCCACGCCTCTTGCCAAGACCCTCGCATTTACTTCTCTTACAACCCCATCTATAAATATATTAAACAACCACGGTGACATCACACATCCTTGTCTAAGGCCTACCTTTACTGGGAAAAAATTTCCCTCTTTCCTACATACTCTAACTTGAGCCTCACTATCCTCGTACAAAACTCTTCACTGCTTTCAGTAACCTACCTCCTACACCATACACTTGCAACATCTGCCACATTGCCCCCCTATCCACCCTGTCATACGCCTTTTCCAAATCCATAAATGCCACAAAGACCTCTTTAGCCTTATCTAAATACTGTTCACTTATATGTTTCACTGTAAACACCTGGTCCACACACCCCCTACCTTTCCTAAAGCCTCCTTGTTCATCTGCTATCCTATTCTCCGTCTTACTCTTAATTCTTTCAATTATAACTCTACCATACACCTTACCAGGTACACTCAACAGACTTATCCCCTATAATTTTTGCACTCTCTTTTATCCCCTTTGCCTTTATACAAAGGAACTATGCATGCTCTCTGCCAATCCCTAGGTACCTTACCCTCTTCCATACATTTATTAAATAATTGCACCACCCACTCCCAAACTATATCCCCACCTGCTTTTAACATTTCTATCTTTATCCCATCAATCCCGGCTGCCTTACCCCCTTTCATTTTACCTACTGCCTCACGAACTTCCCCCACACTCACAACTGGCTCTTCCTCACTCCTACAAGATGTTATTTCTCCTTGCCCTATACACGAAATCACAGCTTCCCTATCTTCATCAACATTTAACAATTCCTCAAAATATTCCCTCCATCTTCCCAATACCTCTAACTCTCCATTTAATAACTCTCCTCTCCTATTTTTAACTGACAAATCCATTTGTTCTCTAGGCTTTCTTAACTTGTTAATCTCACTCCAAAACTTTTTCTGGCAAGACAGTGATGGAGTGAATGATGGTGAAAGTTTTTCTTTTTCGGGCCACCCTGCCTTGGTGGGAATCGGCCAGTGTGATAATAAAAAAATAAAATATTACCTTAAATAACAAAAAAAAGGCACAATACCCTGACTGGAATGATACACAAATAACCCGCACATAGAAGAGAAGCGCTTATGACGATGTTTCGGTCTGACTTGGACCATTTACAGAGTCGCACTAACAAGGAGAGGAGGAAGGGTATATATAGACAGGAGGTGGTGGAAGTAGTAGTAGTAGTGGGGAGGTAGTAAGAGTAGGAGGGGCCAATCCTACTCTTACTACCTCCCCACTACTACTAACTTCCTCCTCCACTACTACCACCACTACTACTACTACTACTACTACCACCGCCGCCGCCGCCTATACATACCCTTCCTCCTCTCCTTCTCATTAATGTGACTTTGTAAATGGTCCGAGTCGGACCGAAATGTCATCGTAAGCTCCTCTCTTCTATGTGCGGGTTATTTGTGTACAATTTTACCTTTATTGAAGACTCTTGTTGACATATTCTTTACAAGATCCGCATACAATTGCCTTGCCTTTTCGCAAATTATCGCCTCCACAACACTATCTCCCGTTGACTGTTTTTCGTTGATCCACACCAACAGCAACTTCTCAACATCTTCGATTGTTTTCCATCACTACCACCCTCTACTGCCATCACTACCACCCTCTACCACCCTCTCTACCACCCTCTACCATCATCACTACCACCCTCTACCCTTGCAGATGGTGGTAGTGATATTTCTCCACAAAACTTTGCAACTCATTCTATGAGTTCTTTCTTGAATTCCATTGTGTTTCTCACCTTCTTTACCAAAGGGCTGGCACTCTGAACCTTCTTTGGCCCCATGGTGGCTTATTGCACAGTTGCAATCGATAAACAAGCACAAAAAAACAGTGGATGAACGTGCGGAGTATTGCAAACTCAACGAGAGACAGAGGCAGACTTGAGTCTGGTATGCATGAGAAGCGGCGTCCCAGGCGGGTGGACACATCTGATACGGACAATTCTCAAATGGATGTACGAAGCCCAGGGAAAAATTTCACCAAAAAAAGTTCTTGAAATCCGAATTGTACAATTTCCGCACCAGACAAAAACCGGGGGTCCACTTTATATGTACAGAGACATGTGCCCATATTGTACAGTTGTACAATACATGTATATGCCATTTTGAGGCAGGGTCACCAGGGAGTACTCAAGGATCAGGGCTTGCTCAAATAATTTTCTAATTTATATAAATTATATACCAAAGTCAATAAAATTATTTTAATTGTAAATGCCAATTTTTTAAGCAAAATAGATGGATCAGAATTATTGCAAAATGTTAATATATACTATTTGGATAGATTCAGCCTATAGAGTTCAAGGTAGAATTTTTTATTTGTTAAGAGATAACTGAATTTATTAAAACTAGAAGACAAAAGATGAAGAGGTAGAATGACCAATTAGAAGTTCACTAAAAGCAGTGAAAAAACTAACAAACTATTTTGGAATTATCAACATGAATAATAAATTAACACAATCTTATGATGAATAACATTTTAAAATTTAGTCCCATTTTAGTAAAGATATATCAGATATTTTGTGAAGGGATTCAGGGAAACCGGTTAGCCGGACTTGAGTCCTGGAAATGGGAAGTACAATGCCTGCACTTTAAAGGAGGGGTTTGGGAAACTGGCAGTTTGGAGGGACATCTAAACTGTCATTTCTGAGTGCCTCTGCAAAGACATTGATTATGTATGAGTGGTGGTGAAAGTGTTGAAGGATGATGAAAGATTTTTCTTTCTTTTTGGGTCATCGTGCCTCGGTGGGAAGTGGCTAAGTGTTAAAAAGAATCATATAAAGTACTGTATGCAGTACTATGGTAATAAGTGTATAAAATTTGATCTTTTATTTTCAGAAAGGATGTTCGCAATGCAGCAGAAGCAGCAAGCAAGGCACAACCTGCATGGGAGAAACGAACTGGATTTAATCGGTCTCAAATTCTCTTTTACTGGGCTGAAAATCTGGAGCAGCGACGTCAGGAGTTTATAGATCACTTGGTAGCACTGACAAGTCAGAGTACAGAAACTGCTGCTCAGGAGGTGGATGCTACAGTGGCTAGACTCTTTCACTGGGCAGCTTTTTGTGACAAATATGGTGGTGATGTTCAAGAAACCCAGCTGTATGGCACTGTACTGAAGATTCATGAGCCAGTGGGAATAATAGGTGTGGCATGTCCTGATATAGCTCCTCTCCTAAGTTTTGTCTCTCTTGTTGCTCCTGCAGTTGCTCGTGGAAATGCTGTAGTGGTAGTGCCAAGTGAGAAGTATCCAACTGTAGCCTTGTCTCTATACCAGGTAGGTTTTATTGGAAATAACCTACTGTTCTGTATTCAGATGCATCAGAATTCAGTATTACAGAGCACATAAAAAGTTCTGTATATTACCAGTCATAAAAAGGACTGGGCTATAAGGTAGTCTAGTATATTCAGTCACCAAAATCATAATTTTATATTGCCCATTCTATGTATACAGTACAACTTACACATGTACAGTGGACCCTCAGTTATCAGCCATTCTGGATATCGGCCAATTCAGTTTTTGCCCGCTTTTTTGGCTGAAATTCTGTCCCAGTTATCGGCTGTTATTTCGGAGCTTCGCCTCTCCACCGCGTTCATGAGTCAGTCTGGGTGTGAGGAAGCCTCCATGCATTCATCCAAACATTTTGCTATAATCCATTGTTTTTTGTGGTTATTGATTGAGTGCAGCTGCAAAATAAGCCACAATGGGCCCAAAGAAGGTAAGTTCGTAGTGCTAGCCCTTTTGTAAAGGGCTGAGAGAGAGGGGAGAATGTGCCTTCTTCAGTGATTCTACGATATATACCACACTAAAGCAGCAGGAGTCGATAAAGACTAAAACGCCAGCCAGCGATAAAGTGTAGCATTAACAGTGTAGCAAGTAAGTTAAGCGATAGAAAAAGGACAACACAAAACTCTTCCAATGTTGTTGCCATGTAAACCCAACAACCACCACCACACCACCACTAGCCACATATGTAATGACATATTTTATTCATTCTACAGTATATATCATGTTTCTACGTTATTAATATTGCTTATTATGTCATATTAGATGAATTACGATAGATAAATAAGCCGTAGAGTTGATATTAGTGCCAAATATTCTTCAGTAAAGGTAAAAGTGATGTTAAATGTTCATTTATCCATTTCTTTTTTGTCATTTTATTTAGTTCTCATTGTTTTGTGTATATAAAACTATAGTTAATCTTTAAAAAAAATTTTTTTGTTAATATTTTTGAATGTCTGAAATGGATTAATAGTATTTACATTAATTCTTATGGGAAATAATAATTCGATTTTCGGATTTAGGCCGACCTTCTGAAACTGATTACAGCCGATAACCGAGGGTCCACTGTATTTTTTTTTTCCAACACTCCGGCCCTCTTCCTGAGGGCAGAAGCTTTAACTTCTTGATTGATAATTTGTTGCATGTCTTTTTTTTTCTTAGTATGAAAATTGATGGAATGAATGATGGTGAAAGTGTTTATTTTTTGAGTCACTCTATCTCACTGGGAAACAGCCAGTGTTAAAAAAAGTACTCTTAATATGTTGTGTACTTTTTTTTAATTTTTTTTTTTTTTTTTTTTTTTTTCAACAAGTCGGCCGTCTCCCACCAAGGCAGGGTGACCCAAAAAAGAAAGAAAATCCCCAAAAAGAAAATACTTTCATCATCATTCAACACTTTCACCACACTCGCACATTATCACTGTTTTTGCAGAGGTGCTCAGAATACAACAGTCTAGAAGCATAAACATATAAAGATACACAACATATCCCTCCAAACTGCCAATATCCCAAACCCCTCCTTTAAAGTGCAGGCATTGTACTTCCCATTTCCAGGACTCAAGTCCGACTATATGAAAATAACCGGTTTCCCTGAATCCCTTCACTAATATTACCCTGCTCACACTCCAACAGATCGTCAGGTCCCAAGTCCCATTCGTCTCCATTCACTCCTATCTAACACGCTCACGCATGCTTGCTGGAAGTCCAAGCCCCTTACCCACAAAACCTCCTTTACCCCTCTCTCCAACCCTTTCGAGGACGACCCCTACCCCGCCTTCCTTCCCCTATAGATTTATATGCTTTCCATGTCATTCTACTGTGATCCATTCTCTCTAAATGACCAAACCACCTCAACAACCCCTCTTCTGCCCTCTGACTAATACTTTTATTAACTCCACACCTTCTCCTAATTTCCACACTCCGAATTTTCTGCATAATATTTTACACCAAAACATTGCCCTTAAACAGGACATCTCCGCTGCCTCCAACCGTCTCCTCGCTGCTGCATTTACCACCCAAGCTTCACACCCTTTATAAGAGTGTTGGTACTACTATATTTCATACATTCCCTTCTTTGCCTCCATAGATAACGTTTTTTGACTCCACATATACTCAACGCACCACTCACCTTTTTTCCCTCATCAATTCTATGATTAACCTCATCCTTCATAATCCATCCGCCGACACGTCAACTCCCAAGTATCTGAAAACATTCACTTCTTCCATACTCCTCCTCCCCAATTTGATATCCAATTTTTCTTTATCTAAATCATTTGACACCCTCATCACCTTACTCTTTTCTATGTTCACTTTCAACTTTCTACCTTTACACACATTCCCAAACTCATCCACTAACCTTGCAATTTTTCTTTAGAATCTCCCATAAGCACAGTATCATCAGCAAAAAGTAACTGTGTCAATTCCCATTTTGAATTTGATTCCCCATAATTTAATCCCACCCCTCTCCCAAACACCCTAGCATTTACTTCCTTTAAAAACCCCATCTATAAATATATTAAACAACCATGGTGACATTACACATCCCTGTCTAAAACCTACTTTTACCGGGAAGTAGTCTCCCTCTCTTCTACACACCCTAACCTGAGCCTCACTATCCTCATAAAAACTCTTTACAGCATTTAATAACTTACCACCTATTCCATATACTTGCAACATCTGCCACATTGCTCCTCTATCCACTCTATCATATGCCTTTTCTAAATCCATAAATGCAATAAAAACTTCCCTATCTTTATCTAAATACTGTTCACATATATGCTTCAATGTAAACACCTGATCTACACATCCCCTACCCACTCTAAAACCACCTTGCTCATCCGCAATCCTACATTCTGTCTTACCTCTAATTCTTTCAATTATAACCCTACCGTACACTTTTCCTGGTATACTCAGTAAGCTTATTCCTCTATAATTTTTACAGTCTCTTTTTTTAATTATGATATACAATGTCTTTTCAGGTTCTGGAGACATCAGACCTTCCTGGAGGAGTTATCAATATTCTAACAGGTTCACGTGACCATATTACGAAGTACTTGACTGAGCATCAAGATCTCCAGGCAGTGTGGTTAGTCTGCCACTCTCACTTTCTGCTCTGATGATTGACTTTTAATTCATCACTTAAACCGTAGCTGTATGAAATGTCTTAATTTCTTATTACTCAAATCTTTTACATTTTAATGTTTGTCTAGATGATTATCTCATATATACACTGCATAACTGCAGTTTCAGAAATGCATTTTTACCTGTCTTGTATCATTATTAAAAATTTTATTAAGATTACCTTCTCTTGAATACTTAAGAGATAAGATTTTCTTCAGATTTTTAATTCCGGAGGGTTAGCCACCCAGGATAACCCAAGAAAGTCAGTGAGTCATCGAGGACTGTCTAACTTACTTCTATTGGGGTCCTTAATCTTGTCCCCCAGGATGCGACCCACACCAGTTGACTAACACCCAGGTACCTACCTGCTGCTAGGTGAACAGGACAACAGGTGTAAGGAAATGTGTCGAAATATTTTCACCCACCGGGAATCGAACCCGGCCCTCCGTGTCTGAAGTGGGAGCTTTAGCCACCGCTCCTTGTTTGGATAACAAAACCCTTAACTTGCATGACATTTCACCAAACTGAAGGCTATCAAGTGCAGGGAGCACAAAATCAGCATCATATGAAAATTAGGTGATGTTGAGCATAGGTGAGGCTCATGTCTGGAGGTTAGATAATACTGGGCGAGGTCTGGGTCTGGGGGATCAGGTTATGAGATTATATTACCTATGTTGATTCAAAATTGTGTGTTCAGTTGGTTTTGATAAGGTGCACATTTCTCTTATTTTACTTGTGGTGTTAGTGAGATGTATATTGGCAGCCCTGTTTAGATTTGTTGCTTTCTTGGTAAACAAGATTTGCTGGATTCTAATTCATGATGTGGTGATCATGTATGCATCATGTGTCATGGACTCCATATGCATACATGTGTTTCTGAAATCTAGTATTTAAATCCCTGGCTGTCTCATCTACATAAAAATGATCATGTCCTCCTCGTGAGATGCTGTTGACTATTAGCATGAGACTTTTTGTGAATCCTTTGTGGTTTTGGCCGTTGGTGATAGCTTAAGCAAGAATCTATGCTGCATGTAACAAATTACTGGTAGAAATACGGTCACCACGTGTAAAGAGTGAGGGGAACCTATACCCTATCAGGCTTGTGCAAGCGTTAGATCATGAGTGAATGGAGTCAAATGGTTAGGGCTTGACATGCTGTTGGAGCTTGAGCAAGTAACATTCATGAAAATATTAATCTGGACTCTAAGAATTGGGAAGTGCAGTAGCAGCACTCTAAATTGCAGCATCCTCACCTCTCCTCTAAACAGTCAAATGCTCCATGATGTCAGCACACTTCTTGCAAGACAGTGATTGAATGAGTGATGGTGATTTTTTTTTTTTTTTTTTACCCCTACCTTGGAAGATAGTCGCAAGTGTTAAGAGGAGAAAAAAAATTTTCTTTAGCAATATTTACCAAACAAATATGCAAATAATGGGATCTGATATTTTAAAATATTACGGCATTTTTGTCAGGGTTGTCCCAAAAATTTCAGTGACAATTTTGATAGTTTTAGTATTGGAAAAAATTTGGTACATTCAGTATTTGTGAATTTTTAAAATTCTCAAAAATTTGTCTTTTTGATAATTTATCTAAGTACATACCGGACTTGAGTCCTGGAAATGGAAGACAATGCCTGCATTAAAGGGGGGTTTCGGGTATTACGTTTGGGGGGATATGTTGTTATCTTTATACGTATATGCTTCTAAACAAAAAAGAATAAGAAGAAGAAAATTTTTTAAAAGGGGAAGTCTGAATGTGCGTGGATTTTGTGCAGAGATAAAAAAAATTGTGGATGTTATGAATGAGAAAAGGGGATTCCTGGCTTTAAGTGAAAAAAAGCTGAAGGGGGTGGAGAGTTTCAGGGGAGGGGAAAAAAGGGATTGGTCAGGGGTTTCAAATAGAGTTAGAGCTAAAAAAGGGAGTGCAAATATTTTTGAAGGATAAGCTAGGGCGGGAAAAAGGGGGATATAAATGTTTTAAAATTCAAGGATTATGTGGGTAAAATAAAGTTTGGATGTGAAAAGTGGGTTATAATAAGCTGTTGCCCCTGGAAAAGAGAGTGTAGGGGAGAAGAGATTTTGGGAAATGTTGATGAATGGTGGAGTTTTTGAAAAGTGTGGAGTAATGGTGGGTTTGGGGTTTTAAGCTAAAATGGGTAAAAATGTTATGGAGGGGGTTAGGAAATTTGGGGGGGCCCGGGTAAATGTAAAAGGGGGGGCCTTTTTAAAGAGCTATGTGTAGAAAGAAATTTGGTAATAAGTAATACATATTTTATGAAAAAGAGGATAAATAAATATACAAGGTATGATGTAGCACGTAATGAAGTAGTTTATTAGATTATGTATTGGTGGATAAAAGGTTGATGGGTAGGCTCCAGGATGTACATGTTTATAGAGGGCAACTGATATATCGGATCATTATTTAGTTGTAGCTACAGTTAGAGTAAGGGGTAGATGGGAAAAGAGGAAGGTGGCAACAACAAGTAAGAGGGAGGTGAAAGTGTATAAACTAAGGGAGGAGGAAGTTCGGGTGAGATATAAGCGACTATTGGCAGAAAGGTGGGCTAGTGCAAAGATGAGTAGTGGGGGGTTGAAGAGGGTTGGAATAGTTTTAAAAATGCAGTATTAGAATGTGGGCAGAAGTTTGTGGTTATAGGAGGGTGGGGGCAGGAGGAAAGAGGAGTGATTGGTGGAATGATGAAGTAAAGGGTGTGATAAAAGAGAAAAAGGTAGCTTATGAGAGGTTTTTACAAAGCAGAAGTGTTATAAGAAGAGCAGAGTATATGGAGAGTAAAAGAAAGGTAAAGAGAGTGTGAGAGAGTGCAAAAGGAGAGCAGATGATAGAGTGGGAGAGGCACTGTCAAGAAATTTTAATGAAAATAAGAAAAAATTTTGGAGTGAGTTAAACAAGTTAAGAAAGCCTAGGGAAAATATGGATTTGTCAGTTAAAAACAGAGTAGGGGAGTTAGTAGAGGGGGAGATGGAGGTATTGGGTAGATGGCGAGAATATTTTGAGGAACTTTTAAATGTTAAGGAAGAAACAGGTTCAGTAATTTCATGCACTGGTCAGGGAGGTATACCATCTTTTAGGAGTGAAGAAGAGCAGAATGTAAGTGTGGGGGAGGTACGTGAGGCATTACGTAAAATGAAAGGGGGTAAAGCAGCTGGAACTGATGGGATCATGACAGAAATGTTAAAAGCAGGGGGGATATAGTGTTGGAGTGGTTGGTACTTTGTTTAATAAATGTATGAAAGAGGGGAAGGTACCTAGGGATTGGCAGAGAGCATGTATAGTCCCTTTATATAATAGGGAAAGGGGACAAAAGAGGGCTGTAAAAATTATAGAGGAATAAGCTTACTGAGTATACCCGGAAAAGTGTACGGTAGGGTTATAATTGAAAGAATTAGAGGTAAGACAGAATGTAGAATTGCGGATGAGCAAGGAGGTTTTAGAGTGGGTAGGGGATGTGTAGATCAGGTGTTTACATTGAAGCATATATGTGAACAGTATTTAGATAAAGATAGGAAGTTTTATTGCTTTTTTGGGTTTAGAAAAGGCATATGATAGAGTGGATAGAGGAGCAATGTGGCAGATGTTGCAAGTATATGGAATAGGTGGTAAGTTATTAAATGCTGTAAAGAGTTTTTATGAGGATAGTGAGGCTCAGGTTAGGGTGTGTAGAAGAGAGGGAGACTACTTCCCGGTAAAAGTAGGTCTTAGACAGGGATGTGTAATGTCACCATGGTTGTTAATATATTTATAGATGGGGTTGTAAAGGAAGTAAATGCTAGGGTGTTTGGGAGAGGGGTGGGATAAATTATGGGGAATCAAATTCAAAATGGGAATTGACACAGTTACTTTTTGCTGATGATACTGTGCTTATGGGAGATTCTAAAGAAAATTGCAAAGGTTAGTGGATGAGTTTGGGAATGTGTGTAAAGGTAGAAAGTTGAAAGTGAACATAGAAAAGAGAAAGGTGATGAGGGTGTCAAATGATTTAGATAAAAAAAAATTTGGATATCAAATTGGGGAGGAGGAGTATGGAAGAAGTGAATGTTTTCAGATACTTGGGTTGACGTGTCGGCGGTTGGATTTATGAAGGATGAGTTTTAAACATAGAATTGATGAGGGAAAAAAGGTGAGTGGTGCGTTGAGGTAAATGTGGAGTCAAAAAACGTTATCTATGGAGGCAAAGAAGGGAATGTATGAAGTATAGTAGTACCAACACTCTTATATGGGTGTGAAGCTTGGGTGGTTTAAAAGCAGCAGCGAGGAGAGGTTGGAGGCAGCGGAGATGTCCTTTTAAGGGCAAATGTGTGGTGTAAATATTATGCAGAAAATTCGGAGTGTGGAAATTAGGAGAAGGTGTGGAGTTAAAAAAGTATTAGTCAGAGGGGAGAAGAGGGGTTATTGAGGTGGTTTGGTCCCTTTAGAGAGAATTGGATCACAGTAGAATGACATGGAAAGCATATAAATCTATAGGGGAAGGAAGGCGGGGTAGGGGTCGTCCTCGAAAGGGTTGGAGAGAGGGGGTAAAGGAGGTTTTGTGGGTAAGGGGCTTGGATTTCCCAGCAAGCGTGCGTGAGGCGTGTTAGATAGGAGTGAATGGAGACGAATGGTACTTGGGACCTGACGATCTGTTGGAGTGTGAGCAGGGTAATATTTAGTGAAGGGATTTCAGGGAAACCGGTTTTTTCATATAGTCGGACTTGAGTCCTGGAAATGGAAGTACAATGCCTGCACTTTAAAGGAGGGGTTTCGGGATATTAGCAGTTTGGAGGGATATGTTGTGTATCTTTATATGTTTATGCTTCTAGACTGTTGTATTCTGAGCACCTCTGCAAAAACAGTGATAATGTGCGAGTGTGGTGAAAGTGTTGAATGATGAAAGTATTTTCTTTTTGGGGATTTTTTCTTTTTTGGGTCACCCTGCCTCGGTGGGAGACGCCGACTTGTTGAAAAAAAAAAAAAAAAAAAAAGCTTCTAAACTGTTGTGTTCTGAGCACCTCTGCAAAAACAGTGATTATGTATGAGTGAGGTGAAAGTGTTGAATGATGAAAGTATTTTCTTTTAGGGTCACCCTGCCTCAATGGGAGACAGACGACTTGTTAAAAAAAAAATAAATCATACAGTATTACATATTTAATATTCTTCTACAGGTACTTTGGTAGCTTGAAAGGTTCCAAGTTTGTGGAGTATACTTCAGCAGTTAATATCAAACGAACCTGGGTGAATTATGGATTGGATCGAAATTGGTCGGACCCCCAAGAAGGACAGGGTGAAGAGTTTTTATACAATGCTACACAAGCCAAGAATATCTGGTTAACTATGGGAGATATTTTTGCTAACTGAGTAGGGCAGTATTGTGTTTGACAAGATGTATGGTTCTGTAATGTGAACTTCAATAACAGTGCCAGTTACATGGTTACTATTACAGTATAGTAGTGTCTCCAGTTAATAAATTTATCTGTAATTTTGTATGAAAAATCAAACTAAATATATTTTACAATTACTGTGCTAAAAATTTAAATTGCCAAATTTAAAATTGCTAAGTTAAAATTCCCAAAAAAATTCCCCAGCTTTTCCAAGTCAAGTAAAAAAACTTTCAGAGTTACATGAAAAGATTTGACAATAAAAAGGGCCAATGGAAAATGTTGAAGAAACATGAATAATTAAAGAAATATTTGGGACCCCAATACATTTTGGAATTTGCCCCCCCCAAAATTCAAGAGGCAAAAATGAATTTTCGAAGAGTTTTTAGGCACTAGAAATTGGGAAAAAAAATTTAATGAATAAGAGTTTGTTATTTTGAAAGTAAATATAAATGTCAGTGAACCTTAACATAAAATACCCAGGATTTTAAATTGGTTAGTTTAAACCCATTAATTGCACAAGGGTCTTTAAACCCCCCTTGCTGTCGCCCCCCCCCCGCCTCGGGGGGATACGGCGGGGTTTTTTGAAAGAAAAAAAAGATATATATAATATTCTTATAAAATGATAGAAAAAATTTTTTCCCCCTTGTAATCCCAAAAAACTAATTTTTGAGGGAAAACTGAGGGAAATTTACGCTTTCCAATTTAGCAAACCCTTGGGGATATTTAAAATTTGGCGATTTCGCCCACTGACCCCTATTTTCAGCAAACCCCATTGTTCCGCGACAAACTCATAGCTTTTTCTTTAGAACCCCCTTTTTTTCTATCGATTGGTACAAAAAACTCCCCAAATTTACCAATTTCAACCCCCCAATAATGTGGTCAAATTTGCATTTGGCCAATTTCAGAAAACAAAAAATTTTGACAATTCAAAATAAGGCCCAAAGAACCAATCCAGACTTTCCTGGCTCTAAAAAACATTTTCTTTGTTCATCAGTCATTCTCCGGGCCCCCTCTGATATTACTCTTGCTTTTTTTTTGAATTTTTATTCAAAAAAAAAAAATAAAGTATACTATTATGCTACTACTGAAATAATTGTATAAATAACTCAACCCATTCATGACTGCATATTAGAATGGCTATTTGGCATTTATTGAACAATGACTCTTTGTTTATTTTTAAAACATCGGAAAAAATCATACTTTTTCCCCTATTTTGAGCTCTATTTCCGGTTTTTTTATAGTAAAATCAATAAAAATCCCCTTATTTTATAATAGTTTTCCTTTCTATCATATAAGACAAGAAAAAACGAAAAATAAAAACCATAAATACTATACGAAAAAATGACACAAATCGGCTTTTTAAAATTTTAAAAAAAAAAAACGGCAGATTTTTTTTTTTCTTATGCACTGCGTGCTCCAGGATTTTTTTATATGGCCACACTAAACCAAAGCCCCATTCCCACATGGGGGGCCTACCGCTTTCTCCTTGTTTTGGAACCCGCTAGAATTTAGGTATAATACTCAAACATGGTACCTGTAAACGTATTAACGACCGCGCAGTCAAAGGGGGTTAAAAACACTTGGGGGGTAGTCCTAAAATTTTTTAACGGGCCAAACTCAAGGGGGTTTGAACAAGTCCCCCCCGGTTTTGAAAAGATTGGTACTCGATTTAAGTGGCTGTGTGGCATGTTAATGGGTGATATTTTTGGGCCCCCCAATTTATTTTACAGGATAAAAATTGGTAAGGGATTCAGGGAAATTAAACCGGGACTGAGTAGGGAGGTGGGAAGACAAGCCCGATTTTTAAAGGAGGGGTTTGGGGAAATGGTCCCAGAGTCAATTAAGTGCCTCTAAAGAAGTGGGGTATGTAAGTTGGGGGCTTGAATGGGGGATTATTTTTTTTTTTTTTTTTTCTTTTTTTTTGGGCACCCTGCCTTGGTGGAAACTGTCAACGTGTTTAAAATTTTTTTACCCAACCCCCCAAAAAATTTAAGTGTTGTGCCCTCACTTATTGAATAGATGTGCATTTACAAAGAATCAATTTAGGCTAAATAAAACTGCTGACAAAATTTTTTGCTTGTTTATTTTTAAGCAAAATCGGCCTAACCATAAAAATATATTGTTTATCTAAAAAAAGTCTGCCCCAGAAAAAAAGAGTTTATGTGTAGCTACCAAAATTTTTATTTTCTCATTCAGGTCACATTGACCTTGGAAGTGAGACGGTAGATAAAACCCTCAGCAGAACCCGCAAAAAAAAAAAAAAATTTAATATTTAAAAAGTTGATACAAAATTATAATTATTTCAAACAGGCTTTTATAAAAAAAAAAAGATTTTCACATGTATTTAAATTTTCCATCTTCATTTTTATTCCTTTGATCTATTTATAGGGGAGACATAGTGTAGGAGGGACCTCTACCAATACTATTGTTGCCTTCACACCCTTGTAACTGTTCAGGTCAGGGCAGTAAAACCCTTTTAAAGCAACACCATTTATTTTGAAAAAATTTCATCCAAATGCCACCCCCCCTTAAAAAATTTTTATAGCACTGCATATCAAAAAATTTTGTAATGTGCCAATTATTTTGCTAAAAATACACCAAATTATAGGGGGATAAAAAGCTACAAGGCAAAAAAAAAGGTTGTGATGTACAAACTTTGAGTTAAAAACAAAATCAAATTTTAGTAAAAAAAAAAAAAAAAAAAATGTGTATCTGCAAAAAGGTGAATTTTCTGAGAAGGTAACAAGCAAACATTTCCATTTTTTGGTCCCTTTTTTAATTATAAATTTAAACAAAATGAATTTCTGACCTCTTCACTGACAGCCCCACCTTTAATGATGACTCCCTCTCCAACTGCCTTATTATACCAACTTTGATTATATTTTCTCTTTAGTGCTCCCCATTACCCTTGCTAACTCTTGTCTCTTACATACCCCAATTCATTGGGGCTCAGATCTTCACCATTTTCTTTTTAGCTCATCCCACCTTGCAGCACTGTACAACCCTTGTGGGTTTGCCACTCAAGTCTTGATTGTAATAATAAACTAAATGAGTGAGTATAACATCCAGGTGGTAGTGTTTCCACTCATTCTAAAGGCATTACAAATTGGTAATCAACTATAGTATAAACATATTAAAGCAGGCAAAATGACTTGCTACGCTCCAAGTTATACGTCTGGACGCTGTATAGCCCTTGTGGCTTAGCGCTTCTTTTTGATTATAATAATAATATACGTCTAGTTCCTAAACCTGTGAGGTCAGTTATGTCGATGCCATGGGGTTTCCTCTAGGATTAATTTTTCCATTTCATTATACTCGAATTACATCAATGTCTAATGTATTATTATTATATAATGTCTAATGTAGCTACTGTGTTTTTTTGCATAGTGTCATCATCTTTTCCTAACAATATAATTATTTAGTACCTTCATGTTGGTGTTCAGCATTTCCTCAAAGTCATGTGCAGACATCTTAGGTACCTGGTTCACCATCCTGGTTAGCTCACGGCCAATATAATTGTCAGCTTGTACTTTTCCACTTAGGACATCATCAACATATGCTGAAAGATGAAAAGTTGGTTTATTTATAATACGCAAGTTTTACGAAGAAAAAAAAGTTAAAAATATTCTACACTAAGGTTGATACTAACAAATGTCAAGTAAGAAAAGCTAAAGGATTACGAGGCTAAAGTTGCAAGGGATTCGAAGACTAACCCAAAAGGGTTCTTTCAGGTATACAGAAGTAAGATTAGGGACAATATAGGCCCACTTAAGAATAACTCAGGTCAGATCACTGACAGTGATAAGGAAATGTGTGAACTTTTCAACACTTCCTCGCAGTTTTTACTCAGGAAGATACTAGCGAAATTCCAGAAATAATAAATTATGTAGAACAGGACAATAATAAACTATGCATGACTGGGGTAACTAGTGACATGGTCCTCAGACAAATAGAGAAATTAAAACTTGACAAATCCCCAGGCCCTGATGAACTGTTTGCAAGGGTTTTAAAGGAATGAAAAGAGGAACTGAACTTAGCATACCTTTGGCTAATCTTTTCAATATATCACTACAAACTGGCATAGTGCCAGACAAGTGTAATACCAATTTACAAGGCAGGTGATAGGTTCTTAGCGTTGAACTACAGATCAATAAGCCTTGCCTTCATAGTGGGAAAATTTATGGAATCAATAATTGTCAATGCAATTCATAGCCATCTTGAAAAGCATAAATTGATTAATGGCCCTCGGCACGATTTTACTAACTTTTTTCACTAAGGTATCTGAGGAGGTAGATCATGATAATGAATATGATATTGTGTATATGGACTTCAGCAAGGCTTTCGATAGAGTTCCACATCATAGACTATTGAGGAAACTTAAGGCACACACAATAGGAGAAATTTTTTCCTGGGTAGAGGCATGGTTAACAAACAGACAGTGGAGAGTTTGCATAAATGGGGAGAAATCAGAATGGGCGGCACGTCACAAGTGGTGTTCCACAGGGGTCAGTGTTGGGCCCCTTGGTGTTTACAATTTACATAAACAACATAGATGAGGGAATAAATAACGACATAAGCAAATTTGCTGACGACACCAAAATAGGCTGTCCAATTCATTCTAATGAGGACATAAGAGCACTCCAGGATGATTTGAATAGACTGATACAATGGTCAGAGAAGTGGCTGATGCAGTTTAACACAGATAAATGCAAAGTTCTAAATGTTGGACAGGAAAATAACCATGCCCCATATAAACTAAATAATGTAGATCTTAATATTACTGATTGTGAAAAGGATTTAGGAGTTCTGGTTACCAGTAATCTGAAACCAAGACAACGGTGCAGAAGTGTTTGCAATAAAACTAACAGAATCCTTGGCTTCATATCAAGAAGTATGAATAAAAGTCCTCAGGTTATCCAACTATGTATCTGTGGTTAGGCCTCATTTAGATTATGCTGCACAGTTCTGGTCACCATATTACAGAATAGATATAAATGCACTGGAAAACGTACAAAGGATGACAAAGTTGATCCCATGTATAATAAAAAAAGGCACAATACCGTGACTGGAACGATACACAAATAATCCGCACATAGAAGAGAGGAGCTTACGACAACGTTTCGGTCCGACTTGGACCATTTACAAAGTGTGACTTTGTAAATGGTCCAAGTCGGACCGAAACGTTATCGTAAGCTCCTCTCTTCTATGAGCAGGTTATTTGTGTATTGATCCCATGTATCAGAAATCTTCCCTATGAGGACAGACTGAGGGCCCTGAATCTGCACTCTCGAGTCCTGGAAATGGGAAGTACAATGCCTGCACTCTAAAGGAGGCATTTCGGGATATTAGCAGTTTGGAGGGATATGTTGTGTATCTTTATACGTATATGCTTCTAAACTGTTGTGTTCTGAGCACCTCTGCAAAAACAGTGATTATGTATGAGTGAGGTGAAAGTGTTGAATGATGAAAGTATTTTCTTTTTGGGGATTTTCTTTCTTTTTGGGTTACCCTGCCTCGGTGGGAGACGGCCGACTTGTTAAAAAAAAAATGACTGAGGTGTATAAATGGAAAACAGGAATTAATAAAGGGGATGTAAATAGCATGCTAAAAATATCGAGCCTAGACATGACTCAGCAATGGCTTTAAATTGGAAAAATTCAGATTCAGGAAGGATATAGGAAAGCACTGGTTTGGTAATAGAGTTGTGGATGAGTGGAACAAGCTCCCGAGTACTGTCATAGAAGCTAAAACGTTGTGTATTTTTTAAAAATAGGTTAGATGAGTTGGATCTGGCTAGCTTGTGCTACTAGGTCAGATGTCATGCTCCTTTCTTAAGTGAATGTGACCTGACCTGACTAGGTTAAGGCATTGGCTTAAGCTAGTGGGAGAAGTAGGTCTGTAGCAGTGTTCCTCCTTTCTTATGTTCTTATGAAAGTGTCAAAATCAATATATGCATAGTGTTAAATATAGTACATGAAGAATGTCAAATATCAGGATAATTAACCCTTTGAGGGTTTTGGTCGTACTAGTACGTCTTACGCGTAGGGGTTTTTGACGTACTAGTACGCATAAATTCTAGCGGCCTCAAATCTAGTGGAAGAAAGCTGGTAGGCCTTCATATGAAAGAATGGGTCTATGTGGTCAGTGTGCACAGTCTAAAAAAAATCCTGCAGCACACAGTGCATAATGAGAAAAAAAAAACTTTGACCATTTTTTTGTAATAAATCAGCGACTTTGCAGTGTATTTTCGTATGGTATTTATTGTTGTATTCTAGTTTTCTTGGTCTCATTTTATAGAATGGAAGACATGTTACAGAAATTGAGATGATTTTGACTGGTTTTACAATGAAAGGTGCCTTGAAATTGAGCTCAAAGTAGCAGAAATGTTCGATTTTTACCAAACTTCAAAAGTAAACAAATCGTGCCAAGCGTGCAATACACGTCAACTGGTGAGTCTAATATTCTTTCACAAGTGCACCAATAAATATTTATACCATTTTTTTACACTAATGCAGTAGTCTGCATAACAGTAAATCTTATATTTTTTGTGAGAATAAAAATTCAAAGTGGAAAGCAAAGAATATAAGAGGGGCCTTGAGACGTGACTAATGACTAGAGGAAATGTCATTTTATGCCAGGAATTGTCTTTCTTGTTTATTCTGGACCCTATTCGGAAATTGGCATCTTTTGAAATTTTGTGTGAAATTGGCAAAATTGCTAAATTCTGACCACTGTACTGGATAGTTGAATTTCATAAATGGGTGGTTTCTTGCACCCATTCGACAGAAAAAATGGAGTTCTAGCGAAATATTCATGTTTTTTGTCGACTAGTACAGTGAAATTGGCCGAAAATGGGGCTCAAAGTGGGCAAAATCGCCAATGCGTAAACATCGCCGAGACCGCTAACTTTGCGAGAGCATAATTCCGTAAGTTTTCTATCAAATTTCAAACGTTTGGTGTCTTTATGATCGGGAAAAGATTCTCTATCTTTTCATAAGAGAAAATAATTTTTTTTTTTTTTTAAATTTGGCCAACCCTGAGAACGAGTTTCGGATAGGGCCTGTCGACCCTCAAAGGGTTAATAAAGAGGACATATTAGAAAAGAAAAATACTGTATAGAATGGATGGGCCAAAGTATCGGTATTGGCTGATTTTTATGGGTATCAGTATCAGCAAAAATTCTAGTTATCCCAACCCTACTGTACAGCATCAGCAAAATGGGAATATTATAAGTCTACTAGGCAGGGGTCTAAAGGAAAGAAAGCTCTCTAATAATTCCAAAATCAAATACAAATACTGTACTGATTTTCTGGCAACATACTGTCTGGCACCTCTTAGTCTGGACAAAAATTGTGAGGGTGGCCATAGATGTTTATATTACAGTTGTTGGTAGCGATCCCTACATTTTGTTTGATTCTTAGTTTATTCTGCTAGCACTTAACCCAAGCTATGGCTAAGGTTAATAGTTGTATTAAGTTGTCGATAGCTATGGCTACTGACAAGTTACTCGAGTTATCAGGTGAATTAATCAGAAGGCCAGAACGTTACTTCACGATTGTACAAGAGCTAATGAATTATTTGATGCATGAAAATTTACACAGGGAAAGATCAAAGCACATGAAACAACTATGCTTGAATGAAACACTTAAAAAGATAGCCAAAAAGAATATGTCACAGCAGTAGGCCTACATCTGAAAATCCTGTGGCTTCAACTCAAATATCTCAGATGTCCTCCCTGCAACATCACAAATCCATGAAACAGATCCATTCTCTCATATATAGGCCCAAATTTATTGCTCACAGCTTATCTGAGTGAGCTGAGCTCATGAAGTAGATCTATGCAACGAACCCTGGTGTCAACGACGTAGTTCTACATTACCGAGTCAAAGGGTTAAACAAAGCCCCCAAGAGAAATAACTTTTTGCCTGGATTTGGATACCCTACTTTCAAGTTAAGATACAAGTTAATGGCTGAGTAGCTAACCCCTTGATGTTGGTGATCTCTTGAGCCAAGGAACTGAACCTATCATCCCTTTCCTTGGATAAAACCTGAATGCCTCCCATTCCCTAGGTGCTTTTGACTCCTATGGATTTAGTATGGAGATGTCACAATGGTTGTTTAATATATTTATAGATGGGGTTGTAAAAGAAGCAAATGCTAGGGTGTTCGGGAGAGGGGTGGGATTAAATTATGGGGAATCAAATACAAAATGGGAGTTGACACAGTTACTTTTTGCTGATGATACTATGCTTATGGGAGATTCTAAAGAAAAGTTGCAAAGGTTAGTGGACGAGTTTGGAAGGGTGTGTAAAGGTAGAAAGTTGAAAGTGAACATAGATAAGAGTAAGGTGATGAGGGTATCAAATGATTTAGATAAAGAAAAATTGGATATCACATTGGAGAGAAGGAGTATGGAAGAAGTGCATGTTTTCAGATATTTGGGAGTTGATGTGTCAGCAGATGGGTTTCTGAAGGATGAGGTTAACCATAGAACTGATGAAGGTAAAAAGGCGAGTGGTGCATTGAGGTATATGTAGAGACAAAAAAAACATTATCAATGGAGGCAAAGAAGGGAATGTATGAAAGTATAGTGGTACCAACACTTATATGGGTGTGAAGCTTGGGTTGTAAATGCTGCAGCGAGGAGGCGATTGGAAGCAGTGGAGATGTTCTGTCTAAGGGCAATGTGTGGTGTAAATATTATGCAGAGAATTCGAAGTGTGGAAATTTGGAGAAGGTGTGGAGTTAATAAAAGTATTAGTCAGAGGGTCTGAATAGGGGCTGTTGAGGTGGTTTGGTCAATTAGAGAGAATGGATCGAAGTAGAATGACATGGAGAGTATAAATCTGTAGGGAAAGGAAGGCGGGGTAGGGGTCGTTCTTGAAAAGGTTGGAGGGAGGGGGGTAAAGGTTTTGTGGGCGAGGGGCTTAGACTTCCAGCAAGCGTGCATGAGCGTGTTAGATAGGAGTGAATGGAGATGAATGGTTTTTGGGACCTGACGAGCTGTTGGAGTGTAAGCAGGTTAATATTTAGTGAAGGGATACAGGGAAACCGGTTATTTTTATATAGTCAGACTTGAGTTCTGGAAATGGGAAGTACAATGCCTGCACTTTAAAGGAGGGGTTTTGGATATTGGCAGTTTGGAGGGATGTATAATAGAACAGTATATATATAATCAGGGCCCTGATATTATATTCTATATGGAGTTCATTATATTATTTCAGGTTACTTTTTATATTGTATCTTTATATATACTTCTAAACTGTTGTATCTGGGTGCCTCTGCAAAAACAGTGATTACATATGAGTGAGGTGAAAGTGTTGAATGATGATGAAAGTATTTTTGTTTTGGGGATTTTCTTTCTTTTTGGGTCACCCTGCCTATGTGGGAGATGGCCAACTTGTTGGAAAAAAAAAAAAATGTTACTTAGATGGAACATAAAGTGTGAACAAATACAATTAGAAAATTATATTTTGGAATGTAAACATATTACAATAAAAGTTAAAATTAATATACAGTACCAATGCTTCAAAATTCTTACATCATTATATTTGTACAAATTATTATGATTTTAATTAGTATATATTATTATGGAATAGGTGGTAAGTTACTAAATGCTGTAAAGAGCTTTTATGAGGATAGTGAGGTTCAGGTTAGGGTGTGTAGAAGAGAGGGAGACTACTTCCCGGTAAAAGTAGGTCTTAGACAGGGATGTGTAATGTCACCATGGTTGTTTAATATATTTATAGATGGGGTTGTAAAAGAAGTAAATGCTAGGGTGTTCGGGAGAGGGGTGGGATTAAATTATGGGGAATCAAATTCAAAATGGGAATTGACACAGTTACTTTTTGCTGATGATACTGTGCTTATGGGAGATTCTAAAGAAAAATTGCAAAGGTTAGTGGATGAGTTTGAGAATGTGTGTAAAGGTAGAAAGTTGAAAGTGAACATAGAAAAGAGTAAAGTGATGAGGGTATCAAATGATTTAGATAAAGAAAAAATGGATATCAAATTGGGGAGGAGTAGTATGGAAGAAGTGAATGTTTTCAGATACTTGGGAGTTGACGTGTCGGCGGATGGATTTATGAAGGATGAGGTTAATCATAGAATTGATGAGGGAAAAAAGGTGAGTGGTGCGTTGAGGTATATGTGGAGTCAAAAACGTTATCTATGGAGGCAAAGAAGGGAATGTATGAAAGTATAGTAGTACCAACACTCTTATATGGATGTGAAGCTTGGGTGGTAAATGCAGCAGTGAGGAGACGGTTGGAGGCAGTGGAGATGTCCTGTCTAAGGGCAATGTGTGGTGTAAATATTATGCAGAAAATTCGGAGTGTGGAAATTAGGAGAAGGTGTGGAGTTAATAAAAGCATTAGTCAGAGGGCACAAGAGGGGTTGTTGAGGGGGTTTGGTCATTTAGAGAGAATGAATCAAAGTAGATGACATGGAAAGCATATAAATCTATAGGGGAACGAAAGAGGGGTAGGGGTCGTCCTCGAAAGGGTTGGAAAGAGGGGTAAAGGAGGTTTTGTGGGCGAGGGGCTTGGACTTCCAGCAAGCGTGCATGAGCGTGTTAGATAGGAGTGAATGGAGACGAATGATACTTGGACCTGACGATCTTTTGGGAGTTGAGCAGGGTAATATTTAGTGAAGGGATTCAGGAAACCGGTTATTTTCATATAGTCGGACTTGAGTCCTGGAAATGTGAAGTACAATGCCTGCACTTTAAAGGAGGGGTTTGGGATATTGGCAGTTTGGAGGGATATGTTGTGTATCTTTATACGTATATGCTTCTAAGCTGTTGTATTCTGAGCACCTCTGCAAAAGCAGTGATAATGTGTGAGTGTGGTGAAAGTGTTGAATGATGATGAAAGTATTTTCTTTTTGGGGATTTTCTTTCTTTTTTGGGTCACCCTGCCTCGGTGGGAGACGACCGACTTGTTGAGAGAAAAAAAAAAAAAAAAAATTATTATTATAGTACTAATTAAAATCTTGCTACTTCTACTTACACTTAGGTCACACTACACATACATGTACAAGCATAGATATACCTACACCTCTGGGTTTTCTTCTATTTTCTTACTAGTTCTTGTTCTTGTTTATTTCCTCTAATCTTCATGGGAAAGTGGAACAGAATTTTTCCTCCGTGAGCCATGTGTGTTGTTAAGAGGCAACTAAAATGCCAGGAGCAAGGGGCTAGTAACCCCTTCTCCTGTATAAATTACTGACTTTAAAGAGAAAACCTTTCGTTTTTCTTTTTGGGCCTTGGTGGGATACAGCCGTTTGTTGACAGAGAGATTTATTATTAGAAATGTACAACATTTTTCCTTAATTACATATAGTTTTGTTGGAAATGTGAGGGAAAAACACCACCACTGACATATGGATGACTGGGTAACCTACAGCATGCCAGATGCTCACCTGTGAAACCACAGGACGTCACATGCTGACTTTCCAGCAGCCATCGTATCTCTGCATCACACCCCTGTGATGTTTGTCTTATTGAGCCTTCAATGTTTTGGTTCACCCTGACAGTCAACCCATGAAAATCCCTTCATCAACATGTGAATCTCTCTCCACAGACCCCTCAATATTCAAATTCATAATTACTCCAGCTCCCAACACTGTTAGGAGGCCTGGTCCTCAACCAGGCCATGGGGCATTTACCCTCTTTCCCCAAGCAGAATCTACAACATGTATATATACTGTACATACCTACGAAAATATTTTGGTGCATACGTACTGTGACCGGCACTTGCTATCTTCAGTGAAAATTCCATAGTTTTCTATTGCATTAAATTTTGCATTAACTTTTATGATCTGTAACCTATTCAGTAGTTAAAGAGAACTTTATCTTACCAACTTAAAATATGGCATGTACGAGTTGACAGGAACAGCCATTTCCGTTAAAAAAACAAACAAAAAAAAACAGCAAGGTAGTGTTTTTTAATGGCATAAATACATACCAATTAGAATGTCAAGAGTTGCTTCCATGTTTTGCGTTGCCTCAGAAATCTGATGCAAGTCAGTTGTAGGTTCCACTAAACGCTGCCTGTTATATTTGCTCTTTTGTGTGGCATTTGCTAGGAAAAATGAATGCAATGTTAATAAACACATGGGAGAATAAGGATTTTCCTACAAAATTTAAAGTTTTCAAGCAGAATAATCTGGTTCAGAAGACAACCAAACAATCATGAAAGTTTAATTTCATAATTCGGAAGTTACAGACAATCTGCAATACTATACACCCTCTTAGTCCATTAATTAGAGGGTTTACTTACAATACAGAGGAATGAGGATGGAACAAAATAGGATGACTAGAAAGGTATTTAAATCTGGAATGGAGGGAAGGCGGGGTAACCATATTCATTAGTGTGATATTATATACCCCCATAAAAATCCTTTGTACAATAGTTTTAACCTGTAAACGGTCCAAACATGTATATACGTTCTTACCACTAGTGCCCCAAACGTAAATATACGTTTTATTTTTCATGCCTCCAAATTTGGCATGATTGGCCTGAGATGCCTGGTCAGCATAGAATGGGTCTTAACACTCGGTGTGCACCATATTAAAAAAATCTGGGACTGCTCCTTGTGGGAGCGCCTGTTATATGGAGCGCCAGCTAGAACAAACAGTGGGACAAACACCAAGGATTCACTTATGTAATGTCATATTAACTCCCCCTTTTCAGAGGAAAGTGATGTTAACCCCAAGTTTAGGGTCTGTCTATTTCTGTCTGTCTATATCTGTCTCTGTCTATTTCTGTCTGTACATATTTCTCTATTTCTGTCTATCTGTCTCTGTCTATGTCTCACAAGTACACAAATACAATTATACTTAATGTAAATTACCCAGGATAACCTAAAAAATCCAACGTGCTATACTGTGCTTGTAGATATAATGCATAAGAATACCTGTTGGTTCACAGTGGCTCTCTCCGAGACAGAGACAGACAGAAAGAAACAAGCAGACAGAGAAATAAGACAGATAATCAGAGATACAAGCTCATCAAATGTCATCCCATATCTCTGCATCCTGATGGCACCCATCAATTGTCATAGCTTATCTCGTCTTATCTCTGCACCCTTGCTGAAGCCCATCAAATGTCATCTCATATCTGATCTTATCACTGCCCTCAGATGCTTGTCACTGAACACTTGTCTTATGCATTGCTTCAAGGGAATTTCTTCCTTCTTCCTCCTCCTCCTCCCTTCTTCTTCTTCTACACTCCCTGTGTATCCAAAACATTGCTGGGACCTATAACTACTTTGTATATATTCCTAGACAATAGTAAATGACCAAGGCAGGTGTAAATGTCCACCTGTCAATGTGTTTGTGACAATTTGAGTACAATTTCAGTACCTAATATTAGTGTCAGAACAAAGATTGGTTATGAAATGACAAGAACTACAATAAATTGTAATTATCAGAACATAAAAATTATATAAAATATTATAAAAATGAGAGAAAATGGTATATCGGCAACACTTCTGCAAGCGGCAGGACTATGTTGCCAACTTTGCAGCCTCATATCTCAGTAAGTACTGACCTTAATTTTTTTTATTTTAATCCTATAACACTTAGAAAAATGTGCTCTTTATTTTCATTAAAAGAAAAATTATTTTTATTTTTCAAAATATTCAGGACACTGGGGTAGTGAACGTATATATACGTTTGGACGTTTACGGGTTAAAGATTACAGAGGAAAAATAATTGATGTGATTTATTAGGGATTAAATATTTGCTATATTGGATCTTGACATTGAAAAACTAATCAAAGACAATCTCAAATATAATACACACTGATACCCTCACTAAAAAAAAAAATGTATATATAAATGTGTGGAGAATCTTAAGGATTCACCAGAAAAAATAAACAAGAAGGTATCATTCTCTGGGAAGCCATCATAAGCACTCTTAACTTAAACCAGTGTATGGAAAAGCTAAATTCATAGCATACAAGTTTTATATAAAATATGTCCAAGTGAGAAAGACGAAAAAAAAAGAAATCAAATACTACTGAAGAATACTTTACAAATAAAAACAGGATGCTGAACTGCTCAAAATAAATTGTCAACAAATTAAGAAAACCTCAGCAGAAAACACAAAAATATTTTTTTTTGGGGGGGGGGGGGGTAGTAGTTTTTTTTTTTCACATATCCAAAATCCAAAAAAAAAAAAAAAAAAAAAAAAAAAAAAAAGCTCAATTTTGGCCCTATACTCAAAGGTGATTCATGCACTGATGAAACAAAGAAATTAACAAAATCCTGAAAGGACAGAATGAATAAACATTCAGCAATGCAATCAACATCATGAAATGAAGATCCAGATACTTTTTTCCTTTATTCTGCCAACCCTACAAATTATATAAGATTAGTACAGATCCCACAATTAAAAAAAAAATGGCAACATGCCCATAACTGTGCCTGAACCCTAAAATTCTGTATTTATAAAAAAATGTAAAGCACTACTAGCACAAATACTTGTTTTTTGAAGGAGTTAAGATTCAGGTAAAATCTCAGGTAAAAGCCACTTCTTTGCACATATGCTGTACTCTTTTCAAGGTTGAGGGACTGATTACCTCAAACTACTCCTGTTCTTCATGATTCTCCTTTGTATGAACTGATGAAGCCACTGTGTGGCAAAACATTTCCTCATCAAAGATTCCCAAGTGTTGCACATGTGTCTAATTTATCAACTTGTCGGTTCTCTGAACCATTCATCTACAGGTTTTAAAAAATTAAAACACAGCCCCTCAAAAAATGAGGTCAACAGCTATAACAGGAAAAGTAAGGAACTAAATATTTACATTACTAACAAATACTGCAAATAATAGTACAGTAGTAAAGAAAAATCATCTTAGTAAAGTAAAAATCTCATTGCCCCTAAGCATAGTCTTGTCACTTTTATTGCCTCTAATCTTCATAATATACTAGGTAAAAACACTAGCCATAGCTCTGTGTATCATCCTTTGAGAATGATATCAGAATGAGTCACCTCAGTATATGGCACAAAAATTATATAGATATCAGCAAAGTCTTCCAGTGAGCAGAGGAAAATAACATGATGAATGTTGACCAATTCCAATTGCTTATATAAATATGAAGAATAAACTCAAAACAAAACAGGATATTAAATGCAGGCATATCACTCAATAGTGAAAGAACCATAAAGAAGATTAAGGAATAATATCATTCGGAGAGCATAATAAGACTAATTAATGTAACAAAGCCCAGGAAAATGATGAAGTGAAGAACCTTAAAAAAAAAAAAAAAAAAGTCGCATCAGTGATGTTACCATTCAAATCTACTGTGCTTTCACATCTCTAACAATGTTTTATGCTCACAACTCCTTTCAAGCCAAGGTGAGATATCAGAGTTAAATTATATATTGTACTGTATTTTAAACTAAACACAAAGTCAGTTTTGCTTTTCCCATCATGCACAGTGTAGGGCAAGGTTTTTTTTTATACTGTGCACACTCACTACACAGACCCATTCTCTCATATCTAGGCCAAAATTTACTGCTCACAGATTATCTGAGGGAGCCGTGTCCAAAACTTAGGTCTATCTGAGGGACCCCTGGCATCAATAATGTAGATATGTGACAGCCACTGAAAGGGTTAATAGAAGTCATCAGCTGAATATATGTACCCTCTATCTGTTCTAACAAGAGATACAAAATTCATTGGGAAACCATAATGCAGCCTCTCAAAATGAAAACTATGGTTATCATGACAAGCTGTCTTAAATCCTAATGTACTTGTGAATTTTATTTTTGGTAGCACTACAGTAACTGTTTAAGATAATTTATGTTTGTATCTTAAAATACAAAAGCAAACTCACTTCCTACTATCTCAGGTAAATAAGAGATAACCTCAACTGGAATAGGAGCAAACATGGTGCCTGGAGTGCGGCCAGGAACTCCCATACTGGCACTCACATATCCCTGAAAACAGAATCATTGAAAATTTGGTGTTAATAGTGTCATGAGTATTACTGAACATTTTATATATTTTCAAACCTTGCTGAATATCATAGCAGCTGTATTTTAACCTCAATGAAGCAAATCAACAAAAAGTTTGACTGAAATGCTTTGTGAATCTGGAAACAGGGTGCAACATCATTTCAAAGATACCAAATGTATGTAAAAACAGTTATACAATATAGTGCTGATTTTTTAATACAAAGGAAAAAAAATTGTTCCACATCATACATCTGAAAAAATTTAGTAATTAAATGCAAACCCTTTAACAGTCAAAACTGTTTTGTTTAGCATTAAAAAAGATATTTTAAGACTTTTGGTTAAGTTTTTTCATTACATAAGAACATAAGAATGGAGGAACACTGCAGAAGGCCTACTGGCCCATGCGAGGCAGGTCCTTATCAAAACAACCTCTAACTAAAGCTACCCAAGAAATAACTCCCATACCCAATGACACCAATCAAACCCAGCCCCTCCCACTCATATATTTGTCCAGTCTCTTCTTAAAGCTACCCAAGGTCCTAGCCTCTATCACCCTACTGGGAAGACTGTTCCACACATCTACAACTCTGTTAGAAAACCAGTACTTACCTATGTCCTTGGAAATAAATGGTATAAAATACCGACACAATGGCAATATAAACACAAATGCAGTATAATGTGATCCTTTATTGACTACGTTTCGCCCACACAGTGGGCTTTTTCAAGTCACAAACAGAACTACCTGGGGTGGAAGGAACGCGAGTATTTATAGTCCGGCTGAGGTCAGGTGAAGAATGCTGCATCTGATGATGTACCGAGTTGGGTTGTAGAGTCTAAAAACTTGGGTAGCTTGGAAAGGAGACTGGACAAGTTTGTGAGCAGACCTTCTACAGTGTTCTTATGTGGGATAGCGATGAAGAAGTTTCTTGGCAAGTGGTTCAGCTATGTTATAGAAGCCACTATTCTGGTTGAAGTTGTCAGATATAGAAATAAGTGATGATTCCAGGATTCTTCGGTATTGAGTGTTGTCTTCTGTGGCGATAAGTCTTGAGTTTCTGTAGTTTATCAAGTGGTTGTGTGAATTACGGTGTTGTAGCAGGCATTCCTTGTGTCGTCAGACCTGCTTGCGTATTGGTGTTCTGAAATACGTGTTTGGAGGTCCCTTGATGTTTCGCCCACGTATAACTTGTTGCAGTCATTACAAGGGATTATGTATATCCCTGCAGAGGATGGAGGCTTGTCCTGCCTACTACTGGTGATGTCCTTGATGGTCGTGGTTGTGGAGGTAGATACTTGGAATGATGTTTTGGCAAAGATGTTGGAACATGTTTGGCAATGGAGTTGGTGGGAAGGACTATGTATCTCTTCTCGGCAGTGTCTTCTCTGGGTGTGTTGAAGATGTTTAGTGCTCGCCGTCTGCAGTCTCTGATGAAGTGACGAGGATAGTGGAGTTTGGAAAATACCTGTTCAATTATAGTGCATTCTTCCTCAAGGAACTCGTTGCTGCAGATTCTGAGTGCACGCAGGAAGAAGCCTATAATTACACCACGTTTGGTTTTGGTGTCGTGGTGAGAGTAGAAGTGGAGAAGATCGTTTTGGTTGGTGGGTTTTCGATAGACTTTAAAACGAAGTTCGTGGTCAGCTTTGCAGAGTAGAACATCAAGGAAAGGAAGAGTGTTGTCGACCTCTTCTTCAAGTGTGAACTGGATTGAAGGCTCGACCTGGTTGAGCTTGTCTTGGAGAGCTTGAACGTTGAAGCGTTTAGGAGTTATGAGGAAAATGTCGTCAACATAACGGAGCCAGGTGACAGACGAAGGAATAATGGTGGAGAAACGTTCGGCTTCTAGATGTTCCATGTATAGGTTCGCTAGGACTGCACTGAGTGGCGAACCCATGGGTAGTCCAAAAGTCTGCTGAAAGAGGTGATTTTCAAAAGAGAAACACGTAAAGCCAACACATAGTTCAACCAGGTCGATGAAGTCGCTGGCTGGGAAAGGGAAGATCAAGTGAATCGTCAATTTTCTTGCGCAAGAGATCGATGGCTTGTTTAGTAGGTACTTTAGTGAATAGGGAAGTCACATCAAGGACAACATCAACATCAGGAACAAGAAACTTTCCAGCCTTGACGTGACTTCCCTATTCACTAAAGTACCTACTAAACAAGCCATCGATCTCTTGCGCAAGAAAATTGACGATTCACTTGATCTTCCCATTCCAGCCAGCGACTTCATCGACCTGGTTGAACTATGTGTTGGCTTTACGTGTTTCTCTTTTGAAAATCACCTCTTTCAGCAGACTTTTGGACTACCCATGGGTTCGCCACTCAGTGCAGTCCTAGCGAACCTATACATGGAACATCTAGAAGCCGAAGTTTCTCCACCATTATTTCCCTTCGTCTGTCACCCGGCTCCGTTATTTTTGACGACATTCTCCTCATAACTCCTAAACGCTTCAACGTTCAAGCTCTCCAAGACAAGCTCAACCAGGTCGAGCCTTCAATCCAGTTCACACTTGAAGAAGAGGTCGACAACACTCTTCCTTTCCTTGATGTTCTACTCTGCAAAGCTGACCACGAACTTCGTTTTAAAGTCTATCGAAAACCCCCCAACCAAAACGATCTTCTCCACTTCTACTCTCACCACGACACCAAAAAACCCAAAAGTGGTGTAATTATAGGCTTCTTCCTGCGTGCACTCAGAATCTGCAGCAACGAGTTCCTTGAGGAAGAATGCACTATAATTGAACAGGTATTTTCCAAACTCCACTATCCTCGTCACTTCATCAGAGACTGCAGACGGCGAGCACTAAACATCTTCAACACACCCCGAGAAGACACTGCCGAGAAGAGATACATAGTCCTTCCCACCAACTCCATTGCCAAACATGTTTCCAACATCTTTGCCAAAACATCATTCCAAGTATCTACCTCCACAACCACGACCATCAAGGACATCACCAGTAGTAGGCAGGACAAGCCCTCCCTCCTCTGCAGGGGTATACATAATCCTTGTAATGACTGCAACAAGTTATACGTGGGCGAAACATCAAGGGACCTCCAAACACGTATTTCAGAACACCAATATGCAAGCAGGTCTGACGACACAAGGAATGCCTGCGTACAAAAACCGTAATTCACACAACCACTTGATAAACTACAGAAACTCAAGACTTATCGCCACAGAAGACAAAAACTCAATACCGAAGAATCCTGGAATCATCACTTATTTCTATATCCGACAACTTCAACCAGAATAGTGGCTTCTATAACATAGCTGAACCACTTGCCAAGAAACTTCTTCATCGCTATCCCACATAAGAACACTGTAGAAGGTCTGCTCACAAACTTGTCCAGTCTCCTTTCCAAGCTACCCAAGTTTTTAGACTCTACAACCCAACTCGGTACATCATCAGATGCAGCATTCTTCACCTGACCTCAGCCGGACTATAAATACTCGCGTTCCTTCCACCCCAGGTAGTTCTGTTTGTGACTTGAAAAAGCCCACTGTGTGGGCGAAACGTAGTCAATAAAGGATCACATTATACTGCATTTGTGTTTATATTGCCACCTATGTCCTTTCTAAATCTAAATTTATCCAACTTAAATCCATTATTTCTGGTTCTTACCTGGTTCGACACCCTCAGTACTTTATTAATATCTCCCTTGTTTATGCCCGTCATCCACTTATACACTTCAATGATATCTCCCCTCATTCTACGCCTCTCCAGAGAGTAGAGATTTAAGGCTTTAAGTCTATCTTCATACGGGAGGTTCCTTACACAGTAAATCATTTTAGTCATTCTTCTCTGTATGTTCTCTAATGAGTCTATATCCATCCTGTAGTAAGGGGACCAAAACTGAGCAGCATAATCTAAATGAGGCCTCACTAGTGATGTATAGAGCTGTAAAATAACTTTTAGACTTCTGTTACTTACACTTCTTGAGATAAATCCAAGCAATCTGTTGGCCTTGTTGCACACACTAAGGCACTGCTGTCTTGGCTTTAGATTTCTGCTCAACATGACTCCCAAGTCCTTTTCACATTCTGTATGATCAAGCTCTACTTCACCTAGATTATAGCTTTGAGGGTTATTTTCATTACCAAGGGCTAGTACTTTACACTTATCAACATTGAACTTCATCTGCCATTTTGTAGATCAAGACATTGATTTGTCCAAATCCTCCTGGAGTTCATTGCTATCCTCCTCAGAGTGAATTATACGGCCTATCTTTGTATCATCAGCAAACTTACTCATGTCACTCGTAATCCCTTCATCAAGGTCATTAATGTAAATAATGAACAAGAGAGGGTCTAAAACTGATCCTTGTGGAACTCTACTAGTGACTAATCCCCATTCAGATTTCACTCCATTAATGGTAACTCTCTGCTTTCTATTGGTAAGCCATGCCTCTATCCATGCTAGAACTTTACCTCCTATACCATGAGCTGCCACTTTTCTTAAGAGTCTCTTGTGAGGAACTCTATCGAAGGCTTTACTAAAACCCAAATAAACAGTATCATATTCCTTATCACTGTCAACTGCCTCATATGTTCTATTGAAGAATGTCAGTATGTTTGTCAGGAAGGAATGACCTCTCGTGAATCCATGCTGAGATTCATTTATCAAGTTATGCTCTTCAAGGTGACTTCTAATAATGTCAGCTATAATTGATTCTAATAACTTGCCCACTATAGATGTCAGGCTTATTGGATGGTAATTTGAAGGAACGGACTTATCCCCTGATTTAACCCTTTGAGGGTTTCGGACGTACTAGTACGGCTTACGACCCAGGGTTTTTGACGTACTAGTACGCCTAAATTCTAGCGACCTCAAATCTAGTGGGAGAAAGCTGGTAGGCCTCCATATGAAAGAATGGGTCTATGTGGTCAGTGTGCACGGTATAAAAAAAATCCTGCAGCACACAGTGCATAATGAGAAAAAAAAAACTTTGACCGTTTTTTTGGAATGAAACAGCGACTTTGCACTGTATTTTCGCATGGTATTTATTGTTGTATTCTAGTTTTCTTAGTCTCATTTTATAGAATGGAAGGCTTTATCATAGAAATTGAGATGATTTTGACTGGTTTTACAATGATAAGTACTTGAAATTGAGCTCAAAGTAGCAGAAATGTTCGATTTTTTACCAAGTTCAAAAGTAAACAAATCATGCCAAGCGTCCAATACATGTCAACTGGTGAGTCTAATATTCTTTTGCAAGTGCGCCAATATGTTATATCATTTTTTACACTAATTTGCAGTAGTCTGCATAACAGTAAATCTTCTATTTTTTGTGAGAATAAAAATTAAAAGTGGAAAGCAAAAGAATGTAAAAGGGGCCTTGGGGACGTGACTAATGAACAGAGGAAATGTCATTTTAGTCCCAGGAATGTATTTCTTGTTTGTTCTGGACCCTATTCGGAAATTGGCATCTTTTGAAATTTTTTGTGAAATTGGCAAAATTGCTAAATTCTGACCACTGTACTGGATAGTTGGAAATTGGTAAATGGGTGGTTTCTTGCACTCATTCAATAGAAAAAGGGGAAAAAAAAAAAAAAAGAGTTCTAGCGAAATATTCATGTTTTTTGTCGACTAGTACAGTGGAACTGGCCGAAAATGGGGCTCAAAGTGGGCAAAATCGCCAATCCGTAAACATCGCCGAGACCGCTAACTTCGCGAGAGCATAATTCTAAGTTTTCCATCAAATTTCATATTTTTGGTGTCATTATGATCGGGAAAAGATTCTCTTATCTTTTCATAAGAAATTTTTTTTTTTTTTAATTTGGCCGACCCTGAGAACGAGTCTCGGAGAGGGCCTGTTGACCCTCAAAGGGTTAAATATAGGAGCCACATTAGCCATCTTCCAAAACTCTGGCACAACACCGGTAAGGATGGACGCATTAAATACACTCGTTAAGGGCCCAAAATTTACACTAAATTACTTAGGCCATAGCAAAGTACCCTGTTTGGTTTCCACATGCAGGCCTATGTCAGGGTCTTGCAATAATTACATGTGGTTACTTCCAGTTCATAACATGGTATGGTATCTGGTGAAGATTTTAACCTTTCGGGGTTTCCAAGGCCCAAATTGGAGTCAGCCCAGTGCCCAAAGGGAATTTTCAAAAAAAAATTTTTATTTTTTTTTATGAAATCTTTAGAGAATCTTTTTGTAAAGGGTTTAATAAAACAAAAAAGTATGATTTTGGTGGAAAATTGACGAAAAAAAGCTCTCGCAAATTTTGATGTGTCAGGATATTTACAAAATCGGCAATTTTGCCGACTTTGACCCCCATTTTAGGCCAATTAATTATTCCAATAAACCCAAAATTCTTAGCTATTTCACTAGTATTACTTCTATTCTATCGATTGAGCACAAGAAATCGCCAAGTCAACTGTTTCAATACAAAATAAAGTGATCGGAAATTGTTATTTGGCCAATTTAACACAAAGTTCAAATATTCCAATTTCAAAATAGGGTCCAGAATGAACAATGTAGGCTTTCCCTGGCACTAAACTAACATTTCCTCTGTTCATTAGTTATGTTTTGAGCTTTACAAATTAAATTCCATTTTGATTTTTTATTCACATAAGGGAATTTTTATTCACCCCAAAAAAATAGAAGATTTACTGTTATGAAATTACTGTAATAATTGTATAAATATCATCACCATATTTGTGAATGTATATTAGACCCCCAGCTGAGGGTGTATTAGACGTGTGAGGTCGTTTGTTTACTCTTGAATATCGGAAAAAAATTTAACATTTCTGCTATTTTGAGCTCAGTTTCAAGCATTTCCAGTGCTAAAAACCAATCAAAATCATCTCTATTTCTGTAATATGTCTTCCATTCTATCAAATGAGACCAAGAAATCGCAAATACAACTATAAAAAACATACGAAAAAACACTGCAAAGTTGCTGTTTTAATCGAAAAATCATGATTTCATTTTTTTTCTCTCATTATACACAGTGTGCTGCAGGATCTGTTTTATGTGGTGCACACATACCATATAGATGTATTCTCTCATATCTAGGCCCAAATGTACCACTCACAGTTTATCAGAGTGAGTTGAGCTCATGGCGTAGATCTACGGTTTGGACCCTGAACTTAAAGCCGTAGATCTACGGGACGGACCCTGAAAGGGTTAAGAAGCCCCACTACTACAAATTTCTAGTTAGCTAAATCATCAGGAAAAAAATTAGTTTTTTAAACCTTTCACTTATATTCATCTGGTAAAAAGCTCATTTAAGTAGCTTGCATGGCTTCCTATCCAGTTAAAGGTTTAAGGCAGATAAATTCCAACTGCAAAGCAAGTCCGACTCATTAAGATTTTCAATTTAAACCATGATTCGGCTCATACCTTTATGTTCATCTGCCCTCCATGCAGAGTAGTATCCACAGTTAGATGAATGGGGTTGTTGGTGACTCTTGAATAGTAATCGTGTATGAGCAATGAATGGTCAGTGATTTCATGACCAGTTGCCCACCACCCCACAATCACTTCACCGGGATTTACTTTGCGATGCAATTCATACATATCTTTAGCAAAGTCCAATTCTACTGCAACCTAATTTACAGAAACAAAATTACTTTTTAATATAACTTTTACACAATACTGCATATACTGTACATTAAGTGAAGTATTAATTACCAATTTATTCAGAAAATTACAATAAATTATTGTACAGTAAGACCATATTACTATATTGCTAACAACAAATATTATACAAAGAAATTTGTTTTTATGAGTGGTAGAAGAATGAAATAAACTGAAAGAGGAGGTAGTAACTTGTAAGAGTGGAAACTTTATAAAAGTATCATATATGATGAACATATCAATGCAGACAGACCACCACAAATAGGACATTAATTACTTAAGAAAAAGGGGAAGTGAAAAAATTTGACATGCAAGTGTCAGATATTTCTCAGCTAGTTTGGAGTCAACCCTTACAATATACAAGAGAAACACTGTATGAAAATGAAAATTCAAGTGCCAAATATGTTTACTAACCTCTTCTTTAGACTCATTGTGAGGAACACAGAAGCAGTTGGTTATCTCAATGGCTCCCTTGTCAACACCTATGGTGCCTGGAAAATGCGTAATATAAAATGAACATTTTCAAACAGATTTTAGATTTAGATTTTGCCACCAAAGTGGCTAGTTTATTGTGCACCCCATATCCATCCTGTGGACGGTAGCACAAGAGCATATGGATACACAAAAGGCCTAGGAACTAGGCCCCAAAAGGGTTAACAGGTGTATACATGGGTTTTTTATCTACAGTTCACTTATCTGTTACAAGCAAATTTAGGAAATTTGCTTAGTATATCTGGTATCTTATTTTCATTAATAAGATATCTTAACATGTCACATGGGTTAGTATACTGTCTGTCTCTGTATTCCTCAATAAGTGGACAATTAAGCACAGTGTTCAAGACAATGACCATATGCCTGATCACATAATTTGCATTTAGTTTGATCATCATCTGCAGCTCTCCCAAACTGCCAGAAGTACTTGTAACCAAGCCTAAGCCTGGCCACTACAACATCAGTCAGTCTGTTCACATTGCAAGTTGCTCCATAAACGTACTTATCTACGTTCATGTTATCATACTGGGTTATAGATCTACTCAGGCTTCTAACTGCATTCCTATAACAATCATTTTCATTATTTACTTTTCTCCTAATGTTATTCCTAATGCTAGACACAGATATACCAGTTATAATCTACATTCTCCTTCTGGGTACTCTTCTTGGCTAACATAGCAACTTTATCATGAAGGAGTAATCCAATGTGTGGTGGGATCCATAGCAATTGTACATTAATTCCTTTGTCCCTGATTTTTGAGTATCTATACCTGGCTTCTCCAATGAGCATGTTGTTGGAGTCATTATACAAGTCAAGAGCCTTCAATGATGACATAGAATTAATAATCATGATAGAGTCAAGCTCAGTGTCATAGGTTAGCTTTAGCACCATTAGGATTGCAAACAATTCAGTTTGTAGTGTAGTTGCCCAGTTGTTAATTCTTATGCCTAACTCAATAAATTTATTATATTTCTTAAGTAGGGAGGTTGCAACAAGAGCAGATGCAGCCCTGCCGGAAGACTCCTGTTTAGATCCATCAGTGTATATAACTTGTGATAACTTATTACTACCAGCTAGGCAAGAAATTTCTTCTTGAGCAGTTGCTTTAACAAGTGATTGAAGGAAGGGATTACAGTAGGCCCCACTTATACGGCGGGTTAGGTTCCAGGCTATCGCCGGAAAGCAGAATGCCATTTTTTCCATTTATAAATGCATATAAATGCCAGACAAGAAGTTTACACTAAATTATATTAAGTTAATAATAGAACTAGGCATTAAAAAACACAAAAAGTAAAATACATACACAGTACACTCATTACTTATCTTAAAGTACATATTTGTAATCTGAATGTAGGGCGAGAGGTGAGTAGTACTTATTTGTAGGAAGTCAGGTGTAGGTAGCCCAGGCGTAGGTAGCACTGGCTCCCCGTCTCATACTTAATATACAATATTTAAAACAGCCCAGAGAGTTAAAATACACATACAGTACACTCATTATTTACCTTAAAATATGTGTAGTCTTAATGTAGGAAGAGAGGTGAGTAGTATTTATTTGTAGGAAGTCAGTGTAGGTAGCCAGTAGGTGTAGCCTGCCTGGGCTACACCTACTGGCTACCTACACTGGCACACATAAGGGGGATTACCAACAGACCCCTGGCAGTCTTCAAGCTGGCACTGGACAAGCACCTAAAGTCAGTTCCTGATCAGCCGGGCTGTGGCTCGTACGTTAGTTTGCGTGCAGCCAGCAGCAACAGCCTGGTTGATCAGGCTCTGATCCACCAGGAGGCTTGGTCACAGACCGGGCCGCGGGGGCGTTGACCCCCGGAACTCTCTCCAGGTAAACTCCAGGTAAACACTGTGGCCCAGAGCCATATTATTAGCATCGACATACCTTGTTCACTGAATTTAATCGTTTCTAACAACTACCTTTAAATGCTCATAAATGAAGGGAGAAGTAATGATTATTCAGGTGAAAATTGTAACAAAAGCGGATGGGGGAGTGGGTTGGGGCAAACGCAGATTCATACACGTTTTCTGGTGGTGAGCAGAGAAACTAATGTTGTCCTCCACCCGGTACCACACAGGTCCAAGTATTATTTCAGAGACATAAAATATGCAAAAATGCCAGACAAGAAGTTTACACTAATTATTTAAGTTAGCATGAAATAGGGGATTAAAACACAATAAAAGGTAGATAACACAGAGTACACTTATTACTTACCTTAAAATATTAATACAGTATTAATGTGTGAGAGGTGAGTGGCAGGGTGTTTACTGAATAAAATAAGAATGGCACACCATCATCCTCTAACTTGGCACTTAAAGAAAGAGTTTTTACGACCCCCTCTGTTTATCCAGCTAAGCTTAGACCGCCTTTCAATAAGTGCCAACTAGTTAACGAAAGAGTAAGCGAGAGAGAGAAAGAGATACAGAGTTGAGACAATGTAACAAACTGAACAGGTAGTGGGCGATCACTTGGTCAGGCGAAATAAATACGTATTAATATGTGTCTACTTTTAGTTCATTCACGTACGTTAGTAAGAGTTTGTCAAACATTTACCTCAATATTTTTTTTATTATAATAATAATTACCTCACAATACAAATACTACTCTTACATTGTGTACAAGTTAGTACAGAATAAACAAACAGCAACACACCATTTTTAGAGTGAATGAAGATATTATCATCATAATAAAAAGCACTAAACCCACAAGGGTCATAAATTGCTATATAGAGTGTGAAGGCATACAAAAAGAATATTTTTCTATAGTTATCTCCCAGTTTGACTAGAGAAAACGTAATTCTTCCGACACTACCTACACAGCCGCTTTGTAAACAAATCTCATATTTACGTGTATGTATCATGTTTATATGCTATGTAATGGGTTCCATATATAATTTTGAGGAAAATATCATAGATGGATTAATGAAAATGCCTATATTAATGTAAAATAAGACATTTAATGTGCCCAAGAGTGATTATTATTACGTAGTATTGGCGTCATGAGTAGAGAGACTTAGCTATTTTAATGTGTACCTGCACACCAGCACAGTGTGTAAGTAAATTTAGGTACAGGTACACATAAGTATAATTATCAGAGTACATACATATAAAATACGCAGTAACTTTAAAACACTTGAAATTTTGGAAAGTTTCCTGACATAACAGATGTGGTCACCGAGAATGTAAACAAACCGGGTGGGGCGCGCCATATTTGAAAGACCGCTTGCCGTATGGCAAATTTTGGTCATAATTTGACATCGCCGTATTAGCAGAACGCCGTAAGGCGAAAGGCCGTAAAGTGGGGCCCTACTGTACTAGCAATGAGCTTCTTGGGAGGGACTTGCAGGTATGTGATATTAAATGAACACATCTTCCATGGAGGGGTGAAATGCTCTTGTTGTCTACAGTGATACGGTTCATGTAGGTTATAAAACTTAATGCAATTGTACATTTTCACAATCCATTTAGATTGTATGTATTTACTTCTAGACACTTAGTAAGATTCATTGTGACAGCGTCTGGTTCATTTCTTAGCATTGTAATACCGAGTACAGTGTTAATCTCAACAATCCTATTACTGATACTAGAAATACCAAGCTCCTTCTTCATATTAAGAACCTTTGTAGATTTGGTACGGCCAAGAATAATTCTGAAAGCTTCATTTTGCATTAACTCCAAGGGTCGGAGAGAACTTTCTCTAGCTAATATCAACATGGGAGCAGCATAATGAATTAAGGGCCTAACATAGGTTATGTACATCATTCTCATGATTTTCACATTAGCACCATAGTTGGGGTTGTAGCCAGCAACAGCTTTGAGAGCATTTAGCCTATCTTTGCATTTCTTATTTAGTTGTGGTATAGTGGATTTGTTAAAGAGTACATCTACACCAAAATATCTAAGTTTTAATGTAGCTAATGTTTTCACCCTGCAAATAGATGGGTGGGGGATGTCGTTTGCTTGTTAATATCATTGTTTTAGAGGAAGGTATTATGAAGCCTAGTCGATTACACATTGCTTGAACTTCATTAACCCTTTGACTGTCGCAACCCCCAATCCTGAGGTGTCTCCTGGTGTTGCAAAATTTAAAAAAAAAAATTTTTCTTATGAAATGATAGAGAATCTTTTCCCGATTGTAAAGACACCAAAAAAAACGAAGTTTGATGGAAAACTGACGGAATTACGCTCTTGCGAAGTTAGCGACATCGGTGATATTTACAAATCGGCGATTTCGCCCACTTTAAGCCCTATTTTCGGCTATTTCCATTATTCCAGTCAACCAAACTCATAGCTATTTCTTCAGAACTCCATTTTTTCCATAGATTGAGTACAAGAAACTGCCCATTTACCGATTTCAACTACCCAATAACATGGTCAGAAATTTGCAATTTGGCCAATTTCACGAAAATTAAAAAATATGACAATTTCAAAATAAGGACCAGAATGAACAATGCAGACATTCCTGGCTCTAAAATAACATTTTCTTCGTTCATTAGTCATGTCTCCAGGCCCCTCGGATATTACTCTTGCTTTTTATTTTGAAATTTTATTCAAACAAAAAATAGAAGATTTACTGTTATGCAGACTACTGCAATACTGTAATAATTGTAAAAATTACATCAACCCATTCATGACTGCATATTAGAATGGCTATTTGGACATTTATTGGACAATGACATCATTTGTTTACTTTTGAACATCGGCAAAAATCAAACATTTCCTGTACTTTGTGCTCCATTTCCAGGTTCTTTTTATAGTAAAATTAATCAAAATCACCTCTATTTCTATAATATAGTTTCCATTCTATCAAATGAGACCAAGAAAACGAGAATACAACCACAAATACTATACGAAAACAGACCACAAAGTCGGCATTTTAATTAAAAAAAACGGTTGGAGTTTTTTTTTTTCTCATTATGCACTGCATGCTCCAGGATTTTTTTTATATGGTGCACACTTACCACACAGACCCATTCTCTCACATGTGGGCCT